AGCTTCGTGCCTTGCTCCCCATTTCGCGGTTCTCCGAATGGAGACGGTCTGTCTTGCGAAGTGTTAAATTAGGTTTGCATCACCTACGTCATCGCCTTTAATCATGTAACAGATGAAAATGGGAATGCTACCTCAGGAAGGCCAGCAGCGGGCCGCACTCAGCCCCGGACTTCAGGTCTCTCTCTCAGCAAACATTCTTTTGCCTGGTTTGTGGGTAACCGTCGTCTGGTATCGGTCTCCCTCAAATGAGTCCATTTAACTTGCATGCGGAGAACACTCAGACGTCCCAGGTGTTCTCTGATGATCCACTTTGTGGGGAGAAAGGACGTGGATCTCTGTGTACAGACGTGGAAAGAGTTTATGATAAACTAAGTGACATACGGTGCCTTACGGTGCCTGGAGCCTGCTGCCACTTGTGTAAGAATTGTCACTCAAGTGTTTAAAAGGCCAGGAAAAGGACAAAGAACAGACGGAAAATGGACTTAATCCCAATACGAACGGTAATTGCATCAGCCACAAATGAGATAAACGTTCCCCTTAAAAGCAAAGACGAACAGATTGGATTAAAAGGGAGGTCTTACTAGATGCTCTCTGTAAAACCCTCTTTAAATATCCAGCTATCCAGAGATGACAATGAACACGGACTGGGCAGTTCAACAGGAATTTATTCCCTCAGTTCTGGAGGTGGGACATCTGAAATCAAGGAGTCCGTGGGTTTTTTCTTCTGGAGGCTCCGAGGGGGCTTTTTTTTCTTCTGGAGGCTGCTGGTGGTTGCCCATAACCCCTGACCGTTCTCGGCCTTGGCACCCACCACTTCCTGTGTCTCTATCCTCACGTGCTCTTTCCTTCCGAGATCTGTCCAAGTTTTCTCCATCTCACGAGGACACTGGTCACTGGATTAGGGCCCACTCAATTTGCCGATGTCTGTGAAGACCCTGTTTCCTATAAGGTCACATCCACAGGTCCTGGGGGCTGGGACTGGAGCGGGTCTTTCCAGGGGACACAGCTGAATGCAGGACACCATGCAAACACTGATCAAAAGCAAGCTGGAAGTCAGCTTGGAAGTCAAACACGGCAGACTCCAGAACAGGACATAATAGTGAGAGGGAAAAGTAGTATTTAAAATGGAACGGGGAAAAAAAAATAAAATAAAATGGGAACGGGGGTCAGTTCATCCAAAAGGCAAAGCCACCCTCATTGTGTGTCTGCATGTCCTACAGAACACGACATCCAGGAAGAAAGGGACAAGACAAAGGGGAAATAGACAAATCCATCACAAGAAGTGGAGATTCCGACGTCTCTCTCTGAGCAATGGTAGAGCCAGAAAGGTTTCCGAAGGTTTGAACAGCGCTGTCCACCCACTCGACCTGACACACCACACTCCATCCAGCAGCCACAGTACCTTTTCCAAGCCGACGAGGAACCTTCACCGAGGTGAGTCACGCTACGACCAGAAAGCAAATCTCAAATTTTAAAAAGGACCGGAATCCTACAAAGTATGCTCTCTATCCACAACATCATCGCACAAGAAACTCATTTTGGAAACCTATCTGGAAGATCCTCAAATATTTGGAAATCAATGACACATTTCCAAATAAACTGTGGGTCCAAGAGGAAATCATCACAGAAATCAGAAACACCATTTTCAACAGAAAGACCACGTAAGTCTGTGGGATATAATTGAAGTAGCGTGGGAGGGAGAATTACAGCCTTCAGTATTCAGAAACAGCCCACACAGTATGTGAGATTCGGACCCTTGTCCCTCCCGGGACAGAGTTTCTGTACCCTTACAGCAAACATCGTTATTTTATAAGGGTCAAGAAAGGTTGCTTCCTTACTTTTGCTGATGCTTTTGCATTTATTAGCTAAAATTCTTCTTGATAGAACCAACTATTTTACCTTGAAGTATAAGGTAAAATACGAAAGACAAGACTAATGACTTTTTGCTTGAGTCTTTGGTTTATTTTCAGAGTCGTGACACGATACTTGGCAATATTCACCTGAGATCACACACGGATTTTTTTATTCTTTAGAAGCTCACGTGGTCCCAGGTGGAGGGGGGGAATCTCTTGAAACTGGCTCCTTATTCCTTCCCTCCACCCCAATAACTTACTATGAAATGTGAAAACATATAGAGAAGTTGAAAGAACCTCACAGGGGCCAGTTAACAAACCTACCGCCACGATTCTACGGTGATCAGTTTTCTTCTATCAGCATCTCCAATGCTACTTGCCTTCTCAGAGCCCGTTTTCAGTTTGTGTGTCTCCTTCTAGGTCTTTCTCTGGGTACTATATGCATTTCCCTATTGTGCTAGTCTGCTAGGGCTGCCGTAACAGAATACCATGGAACGGGTCTCACGATTCTGCAGCCTGGATGTCCAAGGTCAAGGTGTGAGCGGGTCTGGTTTCTCTTGGGACAGGGACAGGGGCTGTGGGTCTCACCTCCATTTCTCCTGTTGGACAACCCGGAGCTGATGCCTGGAGCCGATGTCGGTGGGGAGTCCTGTTGCTCCCGATCCAGGGCCCTGCCACAGACTGCTTGAGTATCCCTAGGGCACGCGGTGGCTAGTTTAGTTCAGAGCCAGCAAGCCGAGAGAAAAGACCGAGCTCCCAGTGGAGGCCCATCATTTTTAGGACGTAGACTTAAAGGGGATGTAGTGTCACTCTGCTACGTTCTGTTCCTTAGATTGATTAAGTGCACCCGCCCTGGAGGGGAGCAGGGTCTGGCTTGGGATTGATGAACCCATCACAGATTATGAACACGGATGCCAACTTCCAGGATGCTTTGATTCCTGCATGCTGTCTCTCTTAACGCCGTAATTCTAAGGTGGCAAGAATCGTGTATTCCTTGCTCACCACCATACCATCAACAGAGCACACCCCACTTGGGCCCCTCACACACTTGGAACTGCTTCTGTGGGGTGCTTCAGACTTTTGGGGGTGTGGGATAGCAGATGGTCTTGGGGTGCTCTCTACAACACGAAGAGATGTCTCGTTTTGCATCGGGGGGCACATTCCCATCACCTGCGTTAAAGGACATGACGAGGCTGGGGTGCTGGGCTGGTTCCTTTTGAAGAACATGGGACTCTTGATCTCCGGGTTGTAAGTTCAAGACCCAGGTTGGGCATAAAGATTATATACATAAATGAATAAACTTAAAAAATACATACATATATACATATGTATATATACACACACACATATATATATGAAGGGCCCTGGATGGCTCAGTTGGTTAAGTGTCTGCATTTGACTCGGGTCATGATACCGGGGTCTTCCAGTCGAGTTCCACATCCGGGTCCCTGCTCAGTGGGGAGCCTGCTTATCCCTCTGCCCTTCCCCCTGCTTATATTCTCTCTTTCTCTCTGTCTCAGATATATAAATAAAATCTTTTCTTAAAGATTTTATTTATTTATTTGACAGACAGAGATCACAAGTAGACAGAGAGGCAGGCAGAGAGAGAGGGGGAAGCAGGCTCCCTGCTGAGCAGAGAAGCTGATGCGGGGCTCCATCCCAGGACACTGGGATCATGACCTGAGCCGAAGGCAGAGGCTTTAACCCGCTGAGCCACCCAGGCGCCCCTATAAATAATATCTTTAAATAAATATATATATAGAAAAAGAAATGACAAGGCCCCTCACGGAGAAGCAGTAACAAGCAGTCAGCAGCTCTATGCCGCACATGCATGCCCCAAAAACCTTCCCCAAAATACACGTCGCTGCCCAGCTGAGGTCAGCTGTTTCCAAGCTTTTCTGTGCATATCTGCTTCCTGTTGGTGGATCTGTCACCTTCAGCATTTTCTACCAGAGAAAGGCTGTCAGAACCCAGTGACGGATGAAAACCGCAGATGCAACTAGAAATTAGGCGAACTCTGACCTCCAGGGGAAACCCGGCTGTCCGCACAGATGGGGAAACTGAGGCAGAAAGGCCGCACAGCTGAAGTAGGACGGCGAGGATTCGAACCCAGTGTCAGAACCCAGGTCGAGAACCTTCTGTTGAAAACAAGCCCCCGTGTTGTTCCGACTGAGGGAAAGTACATCTGCGAAAGTACAGCCTGAGCCTCGGTACCCGGTACACACCGACCCCCCATCGTATCCCCCTCCGACCGCGACCGCGGCTGACCCGCGCTGGACACCAACGGGCGCACCTGCCAGCGCCGGCCCCGCCCCGCGGCGTCAGGTCCCGCCTCAGTAGCGGCAGGCCACGCCCACCAGTGATGCACCACCCTCCCACCCGTGCACTCGCGCTTCTGAGGGCTGAGTCCTCTGCGGGCGGAACCACGGTGCCCCTCGGAATGGGGGGAGACGGAATTACCGCCGCCGCCGTGAGCTTGGGAGTATGATTCATGCGACTCTCCTTCATGGTGCTCTGACGCCGGACAGGCGTCTTTCCAACAGTGCTGGCCATCTCTGGGCCGCCGGGAGGTCCTTTTCTATTTTGGAATCGTCCATTCTTTTGCCCAGTCAGTAGACGAGTCTAAAAGCGCACGCGAAGAGGGAGGAGCTAATTCGTGTAAGCGAGGGTACCTGTCTAGCGAAAGGCTGTGTCACGACCAAGAGCGTTCGTCGAGCTCGTAGCTTTTTCTAAGGTGTCCTGTAGAGCTCTCTGCTCAAGCAATTTCAGTTACTAAGCCGGTCTCTCGCCCCTCCCTCGGCGTGGCCAGTGGTTTGGCCCCGCGGCGCAGCGCCCGCCGGGAGAAGCCGGGAGCGGCTGCCATGTTGGACGGAACCACCCGGCAGCACAGACGGGGAGAGCCGCAGCCCCCCCGTGAGTCTGCGGACTGAGCCCCGCAAGGGTGGTGCGAGGATCCGAGCGCGCGCGTGTCATGGGCGCGCTGCTATGGCTGTCGATGCACACGCTTGCGCCTCCGGGGCCCCTCTGGGCACGCTGCGAACATCAGGGCGTGGGCGCCCCCCCTCCTCGAGCCCCGTGGGACGGCCCGCCGCACGCACATGGCCCAGCGGCAAGCGCCGCGCGGTGCGGTCTGGGAGAGTCGGAAGCGCGGCGAGGCCGGGCGAGGCGGCAGCGGCGGGCCCATGCAGGACGCGGAGAACGTGGCGGCGCCCGAGGCGGCCGAGCCCGGGGAGCAGCAGCAGCCGGCCGCAGAGCCGCCGCCGGCGGAGGAGCCGCTGCGGCTCGCGGGGTCCGGCGCGCAGGAGGCGGCGGGCGGCGAGGACGCGGAGGCCGGGTCGGAGCCCGACGTGCTGGCCAAGCCGGCCGAGCCCGCGGCCGACGGGGAGGAGAGGGCCGCCTCGGTCCCCGGCTCGTCCCCGCCGCCGCCGACTGAAGAGCCCCCCGCCCCGGCCGCGGGTGAGGCCCCGGAGCAGCAGGCCGGGGACGCGGCTGCCGAGGCCCGGTCCGAGGGGGCGGGCGGGGAGGACGGCGGCGCAGACGAGCCCTCCTTCAGCGACCCCGAGGACTTCGTAGACGACGTGAGCGAAGAAGGTGAGGCGGCGCGCGGGTGGGGGAGCGGCAGGGGCGTCCCCGCGCTGCAGCTGTCTTCCCGCGCGTAGGGACGGCCTTCTGGGTGTCTCTGGGTCCCCTTCCCTGTTTCCTCTCTCCGAAAGAAGGCGGGGCGGGCCTCTTGGGCACAACTTGGGAGCCTCTTATGGACACCGGCACCAGGACTTTGGAGGGTGGTGATGGGGGACAGCGCGCAAGCTGGAGCCGCGACCGTGCGTGGCAATTACGATCGAGCAAAGCGGGACGCTCCACGTGCCTCACTATCGCGGGTGACAGTTCCTTATATGCAGGCCCCGGGTGCCCCGAGGGACGAGCCACACTTGTCAAACGCTTGGGACCAACTTCGTGTGGATACTTTTCCGGGTTCATGCAGTGCTGTTCCTTAAACAGGTTGGGGCAGAGTCGGGTTCCTCTCTGCCCCTGCTGCATGGAAGCTTCTGCCTCCAGAGAGTTCCTTCGCAGGACTGCTGAGTCTCCTCCCACATTCCTGTTTAGTCTGTTAGGTCTGTAGGTAGACCACTGTCCTCCTTTTGGCAGATAATCTTTTCTGAATTTAGTGTCACTCATGTAGCTTGCTTTGGTTTCCTGTTTACCTTGATTCAGTTTACAGGTGTTATGTCTGCTTTTGTCCCAAAAGCTTGTCTCCTAACGACTTCTCTAGGTGGCTAAGCTCATTTGTTTTTATTCATTTATGTTTTGTTTTTAGCTGTTTGAGCCCTCCAAGCTCTGAGGACATCAGTGGATTCCTCTACATTATAGTAAGATAGGAAAGATGAACCATCAGCGAAGTAGCTCAGGCCACACCAAGAAAATCAGATGTCACATTAAGATACGTTTTTTGGGGGGCGCCTGGGAACATAGGGAACCAACAGCATCATCTACTTTTTTTTTTTTTTTAAAGATTTATTTATTTATGTATTTATTTATTTGACAGATAGATCACAAGTAGGCAGAGAGGGAGGCAGAGAGAGAGGGAGAAGTAGGCTCTCTGCTAAACAGAGAGCCTGATGTGGGGCTCGATCCCAGAATCCTGGGATCATGGCCTGGGCGGAAGGTAGAGGCTTAACTCACTGAGCCACCCAGGTGCCCCTCATCTACTTTTAATTTAAACATAGTGTTAAAGAGCTCGCTGTTGTTGTCACTATCCTTATAGTCTGTTTCATAAGCGACAGCGTAGTATGAACAGCAAGAAAGGCTGCACAGCTCAGGAACACTTGGGCCACTGGTCCTGCTGCGGTCCCCTACCTGCGAGAAAATGTGCTCCTTGTGTGGGCAAATTTATAAGGAGGCTGTGTCGCTGGCATGCCCACCACACTCTCCCACCCCGATCAACTTTCATTTTTATTGCATCAGTTTTTCTTATATTTTAAAATCTAAGTTTTGGGTTGAAACTCCATTTTGAGCCCCTGAATGTTTACTCTGCCATTGGTTTTTTAAAAAGCAATTGTTTGAGCACAAGATTACTACCATGTGAATTATTCCCAGAACTGGGCTGTGTGACAGGATGCTAATGTGGGCAGAAGCCAGCCAGGCCAAGTGACTGCTGGGAGGGCTTTTGGGGGCCGTTGTGATCCTGATACTTTCACAGAATGTCCCAAAAGGCCCCTGGTCATGGGGATCTGAAACTGAGCACATCGCTATCTGGTTGCGGTCAGTGGCCCAGGGACATTTTGTGTTTAACTAGACCTGCCCTGCGGGGTCAGAGCGAGACACAGAAGGTATGGATGGGTTCTTTTGAAAGTGGACAGGGTCTCACGAAGAGGCCTCTTGAGGTGCCGGCAGCTCCAACGTGGTCATCCTGACTCCTGATTCTGAGATGTTGGACTGTTGTCCCGTTGCCTTGTTCCTGTGGTCATTGGTCATCCGTTTAAATTTTCAGCTGCCTTTGATGGTCAGCCAGACAAATAAATAACAAATTTTTTTTAAAAAAGATTTTTATTTATTTGAGAGAGCGAGCAAGCGGAAGGAGAAACAGCCCCCCCCTCCACTGAGCAGAGAGCCCAATATAGGGCTCGATCCCAGGACCCTGAGATCATGACTTGAGCTAAAGGCAGATGGTTCGCCGACTGAACCCCCCAGGTGCCCCCATGACCAAGCTCTTAACTCAAGATGGTTTTGCTGTCAAATATTATTTATCTTTACATTTGGTATTTAGTTTTGAGAATTGCCTCTTCCTGTTTGTCCTGGAGCCAGGTTGGGAATCCATTCGGCAGGAGTAACCTGGCACATGGGCTGGTGACGATGAAGGACATGCGTCTCTCCGTCGTGCAGTTGCTGTGTTTCTTCACTTACCGAATGTGGGCGCAGTCTTACAAACTAGACACTTAAAAGATTGTGGGAAGGAGGCCACTCTTTGTGTAAAAGCTGAACTTTTTATTGTAAACCTTGTAAATTCAGATCAGGCTGAACAGGCCACTTAATTGTATGGCAGGTGAGCTTTAAAAATGACCCAAGGAGCTGCATCCAGCCTCACCGGGAGGGCGTCTCCCACAGCTGGGACTCTGGTTGGCCTCTTTCCTTCTTTTTTCTCTTTGCTTGCTCTCAATTTTAGCCTTTTTGCAGTTTATGAGGCAATTCTTTTAAAGTAATGCTTTCAGTATCATTTATGAAAGTATTTGAAATTAATTAGAGAGTTAAACAGGGCCTGCTTCTTGAAATTAAAAGAATTTTTTCCTTTCTGAAAGACCTTTTAAACTTCTTATTAAGGGAAATTTCTAGCACAAAAGTGTAGAAAATTCATCTTAACTTGTGGGAATGAAATGCAGCAAAGGATATTTTCGGATGTGTATGCTGTTTAGCATGTTGAAATTAAGAGTAGAATTCAAAACTTGAAGTCATAATTAGGTTCCGGGACACACGGTACAGAAGTAAAAGCCACCACGTGCTGCTGTTTGAGTTGCAGGACTCTCTGGGCTACCTGGACTGAGGCAGCTTCATCTGACCTTGTGCTTTAATCTGCTTGAGCTCCTTGTGTAGCCAGTGCTTTGTAACTTTATAGCTTTCCAGACAAGCTAACTGGGTTGAGGGTTTGTGCAGAGCTGATAATAAGAAGACCTCCTCTGAAACACCATTTAACCTCTGAATGTTGGTCCCTGTCTCCAGCAGCGGGTCAGGGAGTTCATTGGTGCTGGAGCTTCATGGTCCCCCGAAGACTTCAAGGCCAGCAGCGGGCTGCGGATCAGACTGCCATGGGCCAGCGCCCAGGTGGCATCGCATCTCCTGGACCGAAGGCTGTCCCGTTGGCTCTCACGCCTGCGGGCTGGTCCCCCAGGCGGCTTCTCCTGGTGTTCCTCTTTATCCCATCCAGCCAGTTGTCTTATGGAAATGAAGCAAACCTAAGACATTTGAGTATTTAAGATTTGGGTTTTATGATCTTAATTTTTAGGAGACATGAATATAATTTTCAGTTTTGTGTTTGGATTTTCAGTTTCTGAGTGTAGTTACCAACATAATGGTTACCATGTACTGCTTACTGTGTCCCAGGCACACTCCTGAGCATTTGTGGGTTTACGGTCTGAATGGCTGGGGCCTCCCACGCGCTCTGGGAAGCTCTTCATGGAACAAGTACACCGGTAGTAGGAAGGGGCATCGCTCTGTGCTCTCAGGCACTTGTGGGTTGTCTCATCTCCTTGCTTGCAAGGCTGTTGTACATAGTGTTGGGTCCTATTGGGTTTGAGTTGTTTTGTCTTTTTTTTTTTTTTTAAAGATTTTATTTATTTGACAGACAGAGACCACAGGCAGGCAGAGAGGCAGGCAGAGAGAGGAAGGGAAGCAGGCCCCCCGCCGAGCAGAGAGCCCGATGCGGGGCTCGATCCCAGGACCCCGGGACCACGACCCGAGCCGAAGGCAGAGGCCTCAACCCGCTGAGCCACCCAGGCGCCCTGAGTTGTTTTGTCTTAACCTGAATGGGGAGAAAGTGCCTGCTTGTGCGTTTGATTCCGGGTGGGTCAGAGAAGGCTCCGTGCAGGAGGCTGTGGCCCTGATTTTTCTGGAGAAAGGCCCCGTCCTCTTTGTTGGCATTCGGTATTACTACATCTCTAAAAAACTTTCATTTGAAGTCTTCCATTAGTTTCAGGAATGAATGGATATATCAGTGGACAGAAGGGGCATGCAGAGTTAAAGTCTTCCTCACTTGTTAAGTTTAAATTTTGATTCAGTTCAGGGCCATGATTTCTTTTGCTCACAGTGAAAGCGTTTATTCGTTTTTTTACTTCTTGGAAATTTGTTCAACGTGCTAAACTAATATTAATAATGTGTTTGGTCCAAAAAAAGTCATTTGTCCTATTTCCTGTCCATACAGAGCTGCTGGGGGACATTCTCAAGGACCGGCCCCAGGAGGCCGACGGGATCGACTCGGTGATTGTGGTGGACAACGTCCCTCAGGTGGGGCCCGACCGCCTGGAGAAGCTCAAAAACGTCATCCATAAGATCTTCTCCAAGTTTGGGAAAATCACAAATGATTTTTACCCGGAGGAGGATGGGAAGACAAAAGGGTGAGTGGTGGCGGTCCGGTGGCCGAAGTCCCTGTGGATGCACACGGTGCACACCTCCCCCAGTGGTTCTGCTCTTTTTTGATTCCCCACCCTCAGCTGAGGGCTCCATACCCTCGACAGGAGAGCCCGTGGTTCTGGAATTCGGGTGCTGTGAGTGCGCTGCTGAACTCTTAAGAAATCAGAGCTTTTTTTTTAAATCTTGCGCCATCAGAGCGGTAATTGACATAAGATGCCTCCTGGATAAGGGGACCAGCAGACTGGAAGCTGGCAGGATTTCAGGAAAATTCTATATATAGTATCTTACTGATTCTAAAATGAGCTTTCCCCTCCTCTGACATTTTCACATCTCTGACATGGGTGGGGATGCTTCTTACAGTAAAGGCGAAAGCTGTAGTCACGGCTTCATTAGCAACTTCTTCCCTGCTGTTACCTCAAGTAGCGCATCTGTTAATATTGGTAGCATGAGGTCCGTGTCCTAGAATTTGCTTTTTAAAATCGGTGTGAGGTTTTTGTAAACATGACTCTGGTTTCTTTATTTTCGGTGCTATGTCGTACTCTCGTATCACGAGGCTGTTCCATCAGTTGACGTTGTGAATGTCGCTGTTACGCCTTTTACCCCTTTTGAACACCCCGAGACAACATGGGATTGTGCTCGGGCGGTTCTAACTGGTCCACATGACCAGCAGAACATGAGTTTTCTTTGCTGTGCTGCAAGCCCTTGGGACATTTCTCCAGGAGAGTGTTATGTGATACTGGTCTCCATACATGCAGATCGTCTTTTATGGGAGAGGAATGAGAAGATGATAATGTTGATGCTTTATTTATTTATTTATTTTCAGCATAACAGAATTCATTGTTTTTGCACCACACCCAGTGCTCCCTCTTTAATACCCACCACCTGGCTCCCCCAACCCCCCAACCTCCCACCCCCTGCCCCTTCAAAACCCTCGATTGTTTTTCAGAGTCCATAGTCTCCCATGGTTCATCTACCCCTCCAATTTCCCTCAACTCCCTTCTCCTCTCCATCTCCCCATGTCCTCCATGCTATTTGTTATGCTCCACAAATAAGTGAAACCATATGATAATTGACTCTCTCTGCTTGACTTATTTCACTCAGCATCATCTCTTCCAGTCCCGTCCATGTTGCTACAAAAGTTGGGTATTCATCCTTTCTGGTGGAGGCATAATACTCCATAGTGTATATGGACCACATCTTCCTTATCCATTCGTCAGTTGAAGGGCGTCTTGGTTCTTTCCACAGTTTGGCGACCGTGGCCATTGCTGCTATAAATATTGGGGTACAGATGGCCCTTCTTTTCACTACATCTGTATCTTTGGGGTAAATACCCAGTAGTGCAATTGCAGGGTCACAGGGAAGCTCTATTTTTCATTTCTTGAGGAATCTCCTCACCGTTCTCCAAAGTGGCTGCACCAACTTGCGTTCAATGCTTTTTTAATTCAGATTTGAAACTACCTAGGGTAGCTTTTAAGAAACCGTTTTGTGTTTAAAAAAAAAAAAAACAAAACAAAAAACCTGCCAAATGCTGGTTATGATTCTTAACGTTTTCTGTCTTAGAAATCAGGTGGAAGGATAACTTCTTTTTGACTAGTGGTTTCTTGTGTTTGCTACTCTGAAGCATCCTCTGAAAACCTTTATGATTTTGCTTTTTATAAAGGATTTATTTGCGGGGAGGAGGAGCAGAGGGAGAAGGGAGAAGGGGTCCCAAGCAGACGCCGTGCTGAGGGTGGAGAGCCCAACACGGGGCTCAATCCCACAACCTCAAGATCATGACCTAAGCCAAAACCAGGAGTCTGGCGCTTAGCTGACTGCCCCACCCAGGTGCCCCTATAATTTTGCTTTTAATAGACAGTATCAGACTACACGTGTTCTCAGATTTTCTAATGGCTTTATTTGAAAGCTGCCATGCGATACACTTGCATAGTCTTAAAGTGCATAATCTTGTAAGTTTTGACACGTATACATCTGTGAAACCGCTACCAGAGTCAAGATAGTAAACATTTCATTAGTCATCTGTTGTCTGATTTGTGATTGTGGTGTTAAGGACTTTGGGTCTTCTGTTAGGATTTTGTGTGTTTAGGGTACTGCTCCACCAGTGACTTGACTCTTGGGGATGTGACAGTAGATGGGTTAGCGGCCTTGACGGTGCTTACAAGTCATATGGATGGTCTTGTTGTGTTGAGCACAGCCTGCCTGGTCTTAGAGTTTGCACTTGAACTCTGTCTTGATTCAGGTATACGTTCCTGGAATATGCGTCTCCTGCCCATGCCTTGGACGCCGTGAAGAACGCTGATGGCTACAAGCTGGACAAGCAGCACACATTCAGGGTCAACCTCTTCACGGACTTTGACAAGTAAGTGCCAGTGGGTGAGAGCCTGGGCCTTCACTGGGCAGGAGAGGCTCCGCATCTCTGGGACTGTGCTGGTGACCCTTCGGGGAACTCTGTTCTCCAGGCCCGCTGCTGCAGGCTCCTCTTCCGCCCCAGCCCCTGACCCTCCTGGCCACCAGCACCCCTCACCCACTCTTCCCTCCCCTGTCCCTTCCCCTGAGGGGGACAAGGGGCAGCACCACACAGCCTGTGGCCGAGAGCCTCCGGTGTCATTGTGTGTGTGTCTCTCCCTGCCTCCCCCCCCCCCGCCCCCCATAGTTATGCTGTGTGTTGTTGATCAGTTTCTTTTTCTCTTCCAGGTATATGACCATCAGTGATGAGTGGGATATTCCAGAGAAACAGCCCTTCAAAGACCTGGTATGTGCATGGGACCTGTACGTGCTTGAAAGGAAAGCTGGGCAGCCCTGTAGCTTGTAGGCTGAGCTCCTTAGGAGTCGCTCCTACCGGCCTGAGTCGCTCGGACCTCCAGGAGCACGAGGCAGGAATATGGCTTCTTGGATGGAAGTTGATGGGATGTCCTCTATCCCTTGCCTTTGGTTCTTTTTCCAGGGAAATTTACGGTACTGGCTTGAAGAGGCAGAATGCAGAGATCAGTACAGCGTCATTTTTGAGAGTGGAGACCGCACTTCCATATTCTGGAACGACGTGAAGGATCCTGTCTCCATCGAAGAGAGAGCGGTGGGTGTTTGCTGCCACATGGGGGCTTACTGTGTTATTTCCGTGGGCAGCGAGGTGGGTACCCGAGCAGGTGAAGTGTCGTGTTCTTCCAGAATGCATCCCTGAGAACGACATCCTTCGTTCTGGCTTTGAAATAAGCCACAAGATATGGGGAGGCTTCTGGTGTTTTCTGGTTAAGAGTCTGAGAAGTTGACGCCTTGCAGAAGGAGGAGGCTTTGTGCTGCATGCTGGGGTCACGTTCACACAGGCTCTGACTTCTCCCGCAGAGGTGGACGGAGACGTACGTGCGCTGGTCCCCCAAGGGCACCTACCTGGCCACGTTCCATCAACGAGGCATCGCTCTTTGGGGCGGAGAGAAGTTCAAGCAAATCCAAAGATTCAGCCACCAGGGGGTTCAGCTCATTGACTTCTCGCCTTGTGAGAGGTAAGCAGGGAGGAGAGGCAGGTGGGGTCCGTGCTCACTTCGTGCCGACCTCTGTGCTAACGGTACAGCTCGGATTTTGCAGTAATTTCAAACCTAACGGAAGTATCCCAGGAGACATAGGAGGGTCTCGTGTGTACCCTTTGCTGATGTTCCCCGTTTAGCGCTTGGTGGGGTTTGCTTTATTGTTTCTCCACCAGACACACGTGACTTGGTCTTGAGCCTCTGGGAATTAGTGGAAGCATGGTGTCCCCGCCCCCCCCCCCCCCGTGCATTTCTGGGAGCTCATGGATGGCCTCAGGGCCCAGCATGCCCTGTGGCACCGCTCTTTGTGTCCCCTGTTCAGGGCTGTCCCCAAGCCTTCCCTGTTGTGTCCCCTCCTCTGTCCAGAAGAGGTCGGCCTCCGACCATGTGGTCTGACTTCATCGTGAGGTCGTGACAGCCCCCCGCGTCCCCAGGCTCCTGAGACATGGCTCTCTTACATCTGCTCTGCTTTTGAGTTTTTTGGTATAAGAATCTTCTAACACCAGGAAAACTAGAGAGAGGACTTTGGTAAGGTTTCTATGGTAAATGTCTAGCTTTAATGATTTTTCATTTTGCCATTTTTAATTCAAAACAGTTTAGGGCAGGGGTGCTTTGGTGGCTCAGTCGGTTCAGCATTTGCTTTCAGTTCAGGTCATGATTCCGGGGTCTTGGGATTGAGTCCCATGTCAGGCTCCCTGCTCAGTAAGAGGCCTGCTTTTCTCTCTCTACTCTTCCCTCCTGCTCTGCTCTCCCTTGCTAGCTTTCTCAAATGAACAAATAAAATCTTAAAAGAAACCCTATCTGTTGAGGCGCCTGTGGCTCAGTGGGTTAAAGCCTCTGCCTTTGGCTCAGGTCATGATCCCAGGGTCCTGGAATCGAGCCCCGCATCGGGCTCTCCACTCAACGGGGAGCCTGCTTCCTCCTCTCTCCGCCTGCCTCTCTTTAAAAAAACAAAACAAAACAAAAAAAACCCTACCTGTTTTGGGCATTTTGGACAAGTGCTAGGTTGCTCTAGGAAATAGGCATTGGTCCGGGTGAAGGCGTGCGTTCTCTCTGGTCATGGTTCTTTCTTCCTGGCTGGCAGCCCTGACCGGTCCCCTCAGCATCTTCTAATGTGCACGTGCACCCACGTCCAGCCCTAGCACCCGTGTGTGCGGTCCGTCTGTCACCCTGTGTGGCCCGCCCTTCCCATGTGGCGCTTCAGTGGTGGCTTGTGAGGAAGATGGGGCCGCTGGGCGTGCGTGTCTGATGCTTCCTCAGGGCGGCCCATAACTGGCTCCTTCCATCCTTGTGTTTCCGTGAACCGTGACTTCTCCGTGATGGACGTTTCTTAGTTTTGATGAAGTCGTTTTCCTGGCATGTTTTCTTGGAGGTCTCACGACTTCACAGGCACTGGCACTTTCTGCGGACAGGACACCGGAGGTGCTCCTTACAGTGGCCGCGTGCTGGGACCCAGTGTGCGTGGAGACTCCCTGGCCCTGTGCGTGGATGGCGAGTGTGGGAGGAGCCCCTCCGGCCGGCCAGCGGCTGCTTTCAGCTGCGTCCCAGACTCGTGTGGTGTCGTCGGTGTGCATAGACCTCTCTTTGCTCCAGGCCAGCCCCCCTGGGCCATCTTCCTCAATGTCTGTCCCTGGTGCTCCCAGGAAGCCCTTGTGTGAGGCAGCAGCACCTGCTTCGTCCTGCAAAGGGGTGTGAAAGGACTATTTTCCAGATAAGCAGTGAATCAAGCTGTTTCTGTCATTCCACGTGGCGGCGTCACATTGATATAGACGTCTGGGATAGGTCTGTAGGGGGAACTTTGTAACTTGGGGGTGCGGGTGACTCTAGCCCATCGGGAGGTCCTCGGGGCACCTGGGCAGCACCCATCCTCGGCCTTTTCTCCTCGAGTTTGCTTCTGCCTTTTCCTGAGTCCTGTTCCGAGGGGGCCCTCTGGCTTAGGTGGTTGTGCTGTGTGTCAGCAGAGTGAACGGGGGCCCTGGGTGTAGACAAGCCAGTGTTGGGAGAGTGAGAAGCTCCAGGCACAGAGATTGGCCTAGCTGGATGAGTGCTGGTTTTTGAAATGCATGTAGCCAATCTGTTTCCTTCCCTGGGCCAACTAAACATTGACAAAAATCAAGAATTGCACCCCAGTCCGTCTGGAACACACGCAGACTTCGGTTTGGTATCTGCTGGGTCAGCCAGTGTCCTGATTTTGTGGAGAAAGCCTTCAAGGGGGCCGCCCCTGGAGTGCCCTGGTGCCTCGCAGATGGTCTGCTCCATGGTCAGAGTGGGTTGTGGGGGGAGAGCCTTCCCGGAAGATGGAGTTTGGAGACCGTGCTGAGTCTGACAGCCGCTCCTAGGCCTGGCGCCGTCTGCAGTGGAGGCTCGGTGGGCACCGGTGCTTACCTCGCCCACACACAGTGTGACACGTGGGTAGGAGAAGGTGGGACGGTGAGCGGGATCATCAACAGTGTTCCCTTTGTGACAGGTATCTAGTGACATTCAGCCCCCTGATGGACACTCCGGACGACCCTCAAGCCATCATCATCTGGGACATCCTGACCGGACAGAAGAAGAGGGGTTTCCACTGCGAGAGTTCAGCCCACTGGCCGATCTTTAAGTGAGTAAATGCGGTGGCCCGTGGCAAGCGTGTGGGTCTTCTCTGCTCACAGCAGGGCCTGACACTTCTCTTCTCTCTCAGGTGGAGCCACGATGGTAAATTCTTCGCCAGAATGACCCTCGACACTCTTAGCATTTATGAAACTCCTGTAAGTGACACGGTTTCCTGGGGGCATGGTTTTCCCTTGTCTCGCGGGTGAGGAGACTGGTAAAGCAGTGAATGTGTGCAGAATGATGGGAGCCCAGCCTTTCTGCAGTTGCCCCTTTCCCGTGGCTACCCTGATGTGCCTGTGCTGTTGCCGTCAGTCCGGGATGGGAGGAAACAGAAGGGCCTTTGGAGATGGGTACTTTGCTGCTGCGGGTGAACTGTTTCCTTGCTGTGTGTCCCCCGTTGGGCTTACTTGTTGGGCTCATTCCAGAAACTTTTGTTTCCTTTTTGAGAAAATGCAGGTGTGTTATGGAGAGAGTGGCGTGATTTAACTCCATTGTAACCCTTGTTTTTCCGCAGTCTATGGGCCTGTTGGACAAGAAGAGCTTGAAGATCTCCGGCATAAAGTGAGTGAGTGTTGTCGCAGGTGGGCTGTAGGAGCGGGCGGCCCTGCTCCGGCACTCGGTGCTTCCTCAGCTGGAGAGGACACTGTGTTCTCATTCTGGTCCCCAAGGGCGGCATGGCAGCCCAGCCCACCACCACCGGTCTGCTTGTTACGACTCTGTGGGGCTCACGGCCCACATTCCCTTCTCTTGCCTGTAGACCCTTTGTGCAGTCACAGGCTCTATTTTGTGTCCTGCTGCTTCCTTGGGACTAGAGACTCGGGCTGCAGTCTTTGGGGAAGACGGGCGGAGGGCAGAGGGCTCCACGTCGCTGACAGGCTTCTTTGAGGTCTGCTGACCGAGCAGGGGTCTTGGGTGGTCCTCGGTGAATGGCCCGATGCAGGCATACTCGGCTCATGTGCCCCCTCGAGAGGGGCCTGTCTCTGCAGAGAGTGGTCAGCCGTGCAGGGACATGAACGGTTCTCTTTTTGGGTTGAGTTCTCGGGCGCAAGGGTGGCTCACGATACGAGCTACACCAGGAATTGGTTCCCCGTCACCATCACAGTAGAGGGAGTCTGGTTTGTGAGGGCGCCTGGCCTCTAGGTAACTGCACGCTGGAAGCCGGTCCTCCCACCGTGGGACCCCGTCACGCCCTCAGGCCTGCTCTTCCCTGAGCGCTGGGGGGTCTTGGGCGTCCACTGGGGCCCAGCAGCTGCAGGGTGTGATGGGGGCGGCTCCCAGGGAAGGTGGATGTTGCTGTGTGGCAGCAGAGCGCTGGGCTGGTTTCTGGCCAGTGAGCCCAATGTCCGCTACTCTGCTTCCTTCCTGGTGGCGTCCTGGCTACTCCTCAGTTGACGCTGTGTTCTCTTTGTCTTGCAGGGACTTTTCCTGGTCTCCTGGGGGTAACATCATAGCCTTTTGGGTGCCTGAGGACAAAGATATCCCAGCCAGGGTCACCCTGATGCAGCTGCCCACCAGACAAGAGATCAGGGTTCGGAATTTGTTCAACGTGGTGGACTGCAAGCTGCATTGGCAGAAAAATGGGGATTATTTGTGTGTCAAAGTGGATAGGACCCCCAAAGGGACCCAGGTGAGTGGATGCCCCCGAGCAGAGGCCCCTCCTTCCAGCTCCACGCCCACCTCCTGTTTAAAGGGTGTTAGTGGCTTGTTTGCACCTGTGGCTGGTCTTCAGCCCCACTGGCTTCTTGGTATCCTCACAGGCCCGTGCGGCCCTTGCCACATTCTTTTCTTTTCTTTTTTTTTTTTTTAGATTTTATTTATTCATTTGATAGACAGAGATCATAAGTAGGCAGAGAGGCAGGCAGAGAGCCCGATGTAGGGCTTGATCCCAGGACCCTGGGATCATGACCTGAGCCGAAGGCAGAGGCTTTAACCCACCGACAACCCAGGTGCCCCCCCCTTGCCACATTCTTAACTGGAGAGTGTTTTCATCCTCTAGAAAAGCCCGCACCCGTCAGCACCCCAGTGCCCCATCCCCTGGGCTCCTGACACCTGCTGCTCTACCTCCTTCCCACACAGAAGTGTCGAGACACTTGGTGGGAATGAAGGCATGCATCGTGCGGCCTGGCCTCCTTCACCGAGCATGTTTTCAGGGCTCCCCTGCGCTGTGGCATGTGTCTGCGCCTCGTTCCGGGTCAGTGCTGAGTGGTGCTCTGCTAGGTGGCTGTGCTGGCCCGTGTGCACGTGCCTGTGGGTAGATCCACCTGTCCTCTCCACCCTCAGGCTGTCCGGGATGAGGCAGCATCCTGGCTTCTGTTTAATGCCCGTGTCCAGAAGATCGCTGCAGGGTCTCTCTCTCTCTCTCAGAAGATCGCTGCAGCGTCTCTCTCTCTCAGAAGATCGCTGCAGGGTCTCTCTCTCTCTCAGAAGATCGCTGCAGGGTCTCTCTCTCTCAAGATCGCTGCAGGGTCTCTCTCTCTCTCAGAAGATCGCTGCAGGGTCTCTCTCTCTCTCTCTCTCTCTCTCTCTCACTCACTCACACACGCACACACACCCCGGTGCTGGGCCTCCAGGGCGCCGCGGAGTTTGGCAGGCAAGCTGCAGTGCGTAGCCCTGAGCCTCCGTGCAGGGGTGTGGCAGGAGGGCTGAGGGACCCTGCTGTCCTGCACCGGGATGGCACCTGTGAGTGCCTCTGGTGGTGCAGGGTGCTGGCTGGAACCTCCTGGGCCGAGTTCCATCACGTAGATACTAACACACCTTTACCGACTGCATGTGTCCCCTTCCGTCCTGTTCTGTTGTCGTCGGGGTACGTTTTTCTCGCGCTTTCAGTTTCCACAGTGTCACCCCCATGTTTTCTCTCCTGAACAGGGTGTTGTCACAAATTTTGAAATCTTCCGAATGAGGGAAAAACAGGTGCCTGTCGACGTGGTGGAAATGAAAGGCAAGTTCCGTGTGGTCCCTTGTGGTCAGTGGTCCCCATGTGCAGCCCTCTGGGCCCTGGAGCTCTGCGCTGCCCACCTGCGCAGGTGGCTGCAGCCCTGACTGCGTGCACTGTCTGCCTCCCGGGCCTGAACACAAGCGTCTCCATTCGGGCTGCCATGCGGCTTGCCCTCTCTCTCTTTATACCCCTGCCGGGCCGAGGAGCGAGGGTCCTGGCCAGTTTCCGGCTGAGAGATGTGCAGGGAGTGGGTTTTCCTGATGTTTACAGCGAGTGGCAGTGGAAGGGCTTTTCACGTGACAAATGAGTTCTCGGGTGATGAGAGCTTTATTCTGGGCCTAAAACCGAGCAGGTGCTCTGGTGCCTCCAGGTGCGAAGTGGAGCCTGCATCGCTGGCGGGTTTTGTGTCTTAGTTGTGTTCTGGTCTGCGAGGGAGAGGAGGACAGAGCAAGAGGGTACGGCCTGGGTGCTCTATGCTGTCAGCTGCAGGGGACTGTGGAGTCCTGTATGGAGAACAGAGGCGAGCGCCAACAAGCAGGGTGCACTTAGGCGGCATTCCCGCCTGGCCAGGCTGGTCTCACCCAAGTCCCTGCGCCCTCGTTCCTAGGCCTCCCATGTGGTTTAACAAACTTAAGGATTTTGAGTGTTTTCTTTGGTTGAGTTTTGAAGGCTGTGCAGGAACATCGATTAGGAACGTTACTTCGTTACGCGACCAAGAAAACGTGAGACTTAACTCTTTCTTTCTTTTTTTTTTTTTTAAAGATTTTATTTATTTATTTATTTGAGAGAGAGACAGAGAGAGCATGAGAGGGGAGAAGGTCAGAGGGAGAAGCAGACTCCCCGCAGAGCTGGGAGCCCGATGGGGGACTCGATCCCAGGATTCTGGGATCATGACCTGAGCCGAAGGCAGTCACCCAACCAACTGAGCCACCCAGGCGCCTAAGACTTAACTCTTTCTTGATCGCAGAAACCATCATAGCCTTTGCCTGGGAGCCAAACGGGAGTAAGTTTGCTGTGTTGCACGGGGAAGCTCCGCGGATATCCGTTTCCTTCTACCACGTGAAGAACAACGGGAAGATCGAGCTCATCAGTAAGTGACCTTGCCCTGTTGATGGGCGCACGGGAGGGAGGACAGATGGACGGGCCCTCTGGAGGGTCACTGCACACGCTTATTCTGCTGGCTGGGGGCACTGCTCAGGCTGTCCCGCAGCCAAGAGGGCCCTGTGGCTCTGGCCGCTCAGGCTGTGGCCCCTCAGGGAGCTCCCACCAGGCTCTCCAAGAGAGGGGTTCTGAGCAGATGCACTCTCCTTCTCGTGGCCACAGCTGTTGTCTCTTTGCTGGGGACCCCGTCTTGCTGTGCTCTGCTCCGCTTGAGAGGGGGCCCCCCTCATTCCTCGGCCTCCCTCGGTGACCTGCTGCCTGCAGCAGGCCCTTCCAGGGCATCGCCTGCCATGGGGCGAACAGTTGCTTGTGTCATGTGGGGACCTCAGCAGTGGAAATGGGCTGTGTGTCCCCGTACCCAGCAGCACCGGTGCTGAGCTTGTCCTGAGGGAATGCTGGGAGCTCAGCGGTGTTTCCAGGAGACAGGGAGGCTGTCTGTCACCAAACCGACTGCACTGTCAATTCCCTGTGACGTAGAAGGAAAGAGGGGCTGTTTAGGCTGCCAGGAGGTTGGCACTGTCTCTGGTTAGAAAGCAGGTTTGTGAATAGCCAGTGTAGACACACCTTTCTCTCCTGAGGGCCCAGGGTTGCCCACTTGGAAGGGTGACCCTGTGGGGCTTGCTGACACGTCCATGGCCGTTCAGGGACATCTTATGGCTTTCTCTCCCACCTTTATCTCGGTCTGAGAATCCTGCCTGGCGGGCTGTGCTGCTGTTCCCCATCTCCCTGTCACCTTCGGCCCCGGTCTGTGGATCCGCTACAGGCCCAGGTCGGGCTGGGGTTCACTTTGTGCCCTTGACTGGAGGCCCAAGGGTGAAGGCTGAGTGCTGTCCGCTCTCCAGGGGCTCTGTGGGGTCCTCGTTGGATGGAGGTGGGCTGCGCGGTGGGAGAGATGGTGGCTTTCACGTTTTTGACTGCAGCATTTGAGAAAGGTGGTTTGAGTCACTGGATGGATGGATCTTGGGCTTTTTTGGGTCCTGTGTCTCTGCACTGGGTGAGAGGGTGGGTTCCTTGCCCTCGTGGAGACCCTGCGACCGTGTTTATAGTGACTCCTCTGTCCAACTTCCCTGGGAAATAAATTGTTTTAAACGTGAGACGTTAACTACAAATGGTAACGTAGCTTTAGAATGCTTCGTCTCTTCTTGAAACGTATTTTCTGACAAAATGAACTCGGCCCAGGGTTTTCCAAAATCATGCTCCTGGGCACCGGGCTGGTGTGGGGTGCACGTGAGAACGTACTGCATAGGGCAGCGTGAGCCTGTCACCCGTGCCAGCCACACCCTGCTTTTGGCACCTCGACAGACACTTAACAGATGCTCTTCTTGTTTTCAGAAATGTTTGACAAGCAGCAGGCAAATACCATCTTCTGGAGCCCCCAGGGACAGTTCGTGGTGTTGGCTGGCCTGAGGAGGTGGGTTTCTGCGGCCTGATGCCTTGTGCTCGTGGTGCCCAGCGCTCTGTGGGCGACCATGGGGCCTGATTTGGGCCCCTGTGGGTCACGGCAGTTCCTCCACATGGTGCTGGAGCGTCCTCGTGTGAAAGGGCTGTCCCCGTACTTTTGGTGACTGGGTTTATTGTGTTTCCATGTCGCCCAGACTTGGGTTGAAAGCAGGTCATGAAGGCAGTGCAGGTGTTTTCTATCTGGAAGATGTGGGAGTGTTGCGATGTTCTCATGGTTGAACGAGATGTCTTCCTGGCCGGGCAGTGAGCTCAGTGGGAAACCCGCATCATCTTGCGGGAAGTCTTTTTGAGCAGATGGACGGGTGCGAGGCTGTTTCTGCGGCGTGAGCATGAGTGCGGCGGCGTTTACCCTCCATGCCCCTGCTCACCCGCTGTCCCAGCTGTCCGGGAGCCTGAGGTGCCCCTGTCCGCGGGTGCGTCAGCAGAACGCACTGAGTTCCTGCTTTCCTGACCTTCATGGGAGGCGCCTGCTGTTTTTAGATAATCTGAGGCGCACACACATGGGGCTTCCATGTGCATTCCCCACGGAGCACTTCCTCCTCAACGGCGGGGCTCCGAGTCCACACCAGAGCCCGAGGAGTAGAACGCCCGGAGGCTGTGGGCGTGCTGACTGCTCTGTCTCCCCAGCATGAATGGTGCCTTGGCTTTCGTTGACACGTCGGACTGTACAGTCATGAACATCGCAGAGCACTACATGGCCTCCGACGTGGAGTGGGACCCCACTGGGCGCTATGTTGTCACCTCTGTGTCCTGGTGGAGCCATAAGGTATGGGGCCCCGTGTGGCCTGTGTGGTGTGGGACCCAGCTGTGCTGGGCCTTGCGTGTTCCTGCCCCCCGCCACACTGTGTCTCCATGAGGTGGGTACTGTTAGTCACGCTTTGCTGCCCTGCCTGGCGGCTCCGGAAAGCTCTTCGGCAGCACCCCTGAGACGGCCAGCTTTTCCACGAGCTGGTCGGCGTTCTTTGATTTCCCTTTCCTGAGTTGGACCGCGTCTCAGGCCGGCCGCAGCCTGAGTCCAGCCCCCTTCCTCTGGAGCAGGAGCTGGGGGGCTTTTTCGGGTGTGCTTTCTCCCCACAGCCGGGAGCTCACCCACACGGGCCTAGGAGGCTCAGAGGCGGGGGAGGACGGGCCGTGCTGTACGTGCACTTTCCCAGTAGGATCATTTTCCCCTCAAGAAGTCCGTGGTTTGGACCCCCTTTATCTGGCACCCAGCTTGCCAGGCCTTCTGTGGCCTCTGCTGGCCTCTGCTCGTTTGGCACGACCGTGCGGCCCATGCTTGCGCCTCTCTTGCCCGAGTTGTGGTTCCCCTGTGTGTGTGGCGTTTCTGCCTCAGGGCGCCACTCCCCCGCCCTGCTGTTTTCCGGGTGCTTGAGGGGCACCAGGTCCCCTGAGGCCACTGTTTACAGTGTATTTCTTCCTTTTACTGTGTGGTGTCGTGTGGGCTGGGCCTTCTCTGGTTCTGCCTGGCACGTGGTCCTCATTCAATCATGCTGGCTCGGGGGACGAGTGCCACGTGGGAGCCACCGGAGAGAGCTGCTTGCTCGAGGGTCTGGGACTCCCCGAAAGGACATGAAAACGTGTGTGTGCACGTGTCCTCAGTCTCAAACGTCCGTAACTTGAAAAACTTCAGAAATGCCACACTCATGAGCGTGAGAGGCTGTGTCCAAGGTGGTTCTGTGTGGCATGCATGTGCTGGCGGGTCTGCAGCCGTGTTCCCATGCTCAGTGCTCCTGGGCTGCTGGTGAGCTCCGCCAAACCTTTTTTTCAGCCGAGTCTTTCTTGCTGGTGGACGTGCTGAGACTTGAATGAGCTCATGCACGTGTGCAGAGCCTGAGCGATCAAATCAGCATGATTCTGTGTGACGAAGCACGAATGTGCGGGAGCTCAACCCCACAGCCATCCCCGAACACTGTCTTGGAAAGAGCCTGTGTGTTGGGGCCAGTGTCTGGTGCCCCAGGCTCCAGAAGGGCCAGTCTGCAGCGAGACGGCCCCGGTACCATTTCCTTTGTCAGGAAAGACGCCTGCTGAGCGGGACAGCGCATCTGTTGATGTAGTAGCTGGGTTCTGGCAGGAGCGCCCGTGCTGGTGGCTGTGCGGCTGCACCCCATGTCACCTCCCATTGAGCCTGTGGACCGTGTTCCCGGGCCGCGGGCGGGCGGGCGCGCGCGCCTCTCCACGGTCTCCTGGGTGCCGACAGCATAGCTACGTGAGGGCTCCCAGACCATGTGGACGAGATGCTTGGTGTGCTGGGCTCTGGGAGGGCGCAAGGCCAGGAGCATGTCCTGCGGGAGTCACAATATGAGCAATGCTCGGGCCTCTGCCCCCTGCAGGTGGACAACGCTTACTGGCTGTGGACATTCCAAGGACGCCTTCTGCAGAAGAACAACAAGGACCGCTTTTGCCAGCTGCTGTGGAGACCGCGGCCCCCCACGCTCCTGAGCCAGGATCAGATAAAGGTCTGGGGCCCCCGGGGCCAGGGGAACGCAGACGCCCTCATGGCACTGACAGAGACTTCTTTTCTCTCAGTGTTCGGGTGGTCGCGCCTGAGGAATGGAAACGGGAGGTTTGGGGCACCCTTTGAAGAGATGCGAGAGCCCCGGCGGCCCCATAGGAAGGAGTAGTAGTTGCAGGGTCGTATACTTGGGTTTGTAGGTTGTGGCCAGTCGTGTCTGTGCTCTTTGAGGACACTTGCACGGAGCGGAGGGGATGTAAGCCGTGCTGGCGGTTCAGGGAGAGGGTGTCCGCATGTGTGCGGTCACGGTGAAGTGTGCTGCCGGCGTCAGGGCCGAGCTTGCTGGACGTGGCTCCCGTGAGAGGCAGGCGCTCGCGCAGTGAGACCTGCAGGCCGGTGCTGGTGCGTGTGCTTGTGGGCGCCTCTGTGCTTGTGATCCTGAGGCTGTCGCACGTTGACAACTTTGGAGAGCCTTTGAACATTTCAATCTTGAGTGTCTTGTTTTTGTTTTTGTTTCAGCAAATTAAAAAGGATCTGAAGAAATACTCAAAGATCTTTGAACAGAAGGATCGTCTGAGCCAGTCCAAAGCCTCAAAGGTTAGTGCTCCCGGACTGAGGGAGGAGCCAGCGTCAGGCCTGTGGGGGATGGCAGCGTGTGCCACAGACACTCGCTGTGCCGCTGCCGTGTGCAGACTGGTGGGCCCTGGCACACTTCTCCGGGGGGCTGGCCATCCAGATGTGGGGGACGTGGGGTTGGTCCGAGTGAGGGGAGGGAGGAAGAGAGCACGTGTCCCCATTCCTGTCCCAAGAGCCTCTCTGAATAGAGTGGTGCTCACGGCACCCAGGGCTGGCCACGGTGGGGGGGAGGTCTGTCAGCTTCCCCCAACTCCATGCACAGGAACTGGTGGAGAGAAGACGCACCATGATGGAAGACTTCCGAAAATACCGGAAAATGGCCCAAGAACTTTATATGGAGCAGAAGAGTGAACGTCTGGAATTGCGAGGAGGTAACTATGAGCGGAAGACCCGTGTTTTAGAGTATGCGTTAGCTGAGACATTTTTCTACCCTATCGTGTGAGTGTTCTAGTTAAACGTCGAGTGTTGTAAAGATCCTTAAATTGTCAGGGACTAGAGTTTCCCACGGCCGCAGTTGTCTGCAGGGAACCTTGCCGTGTTCACACCGGACTCTCAGCTAATGCGGGTATGTGGACGTGGGTGTGAGCGTGTGTGCACGCAGCTCACCCTCCTCGCCTGCTCACAGGTGTGGACACAGACGAGCTGGACAGCAATGTGGAGGACTGGGAGGAGGAGACCATCGAGTTCTTTGTTACTGAGGAGATCATTCCCTTGGGAAGTCAGGAGTGACCCGAGCACTGTGGTAAGACCTCTTCAGGTGGGGACGAGCAGGACCCTGATGTGTTCTGTGGTCCCTTAAGTGAGGAAATTCTCAGGGTCACGTCCTTGGGGTCAGGATGTCCCTTGTGTAGCAGTTGCAGGGGGCCCCGTGCTCATCCTGGCTGTCAGAGCTGGAGCTCTCCTCTGAGGGCAGCAGGACCTCGAGTCCCAGATTTAGGCAGGGTGCCTTGTGAGTGAGGTCTGGTTGTGGATAAGACACAGGCTGGGGAGGAGGAAGGAGGCCGGCCGTGGACTGTCTCCAGATGTGTAGCTGGGAGATGGCCTCCGTGTGTCCCGCAGAGCCAGGAGCCTGCAGAACCTGGTTAGTCAGGCGAGGCAGGGCGCTTCTCAGTGAACACACGAGGACCCAGAGTCACCCACGGGACGGGTGCTCAGGCGAGGCTCTCGCTGTGGAGGCTGTCCCCCGGGGCATCTGCTCCTGCTCGTCTCGGGCATCAAGTTGACACAGACCTCCAGAGTCCCTTCCAGATGCCTTCTGAGACCGTGTAGTCAGTGGCGGCCCATCAGGGCGCGCTCTCGGGGGTCGCTGTTGCTAACGTGCCTCTTGTCAAGGTGCGGAGCAGAGAGTGAATGCCTGCTCCCTTCTTGCAGCATCCCGCGTCACGTGCTGGAACCAGGTCGTCCTTCTGCAGGAAGCCTGCACGATGCCTGCATTCTTACCTGTGCTTTCTCTTGCTCTAGACTGTGTGCCCGGATGACCGCATCTCCACACATTACTGTGCCTTTAGCCCCTGGTCTCCACCGCAGGGGAGGATCGAAGGCACTGCTTTAAATATTTTCTTGTTTGGGATTTTTAGAATCACACCACCAGTGTTTGTTCCTCACACTTGTGCGTCACTGTGGGGGCCCCTCCCATCCTCCTGAGGCGCACAGCCAAACGACCTCCCCTAGAGGACTGGTCCTGCTCTGCGCGCGGGCCGGTGTGGCTGTGTCCCAGCTGCGTCCCGGCCGCCACAGGGAAGCTGCGCCCTGTAGGCACCGTTCAGGTTGTGCCGGCTTCTCAACAGGCTGAGCGTGGAAATAAAAGCAAACCTGTACGAAAACGCTGTCTTTTCTCCTGTTTTTACACGTAGATAGCGGCCTTGAATCTGGTGCCTGTCCCCCTGCCCCCGGCTGTGGTGGCAGTCTGGGCTCAGCATGCCCACTGCTGCCGGCCCCCGAGGCTGACGTGGCGAGGAGGGAGGCCTCCGTCCTCCTGTGGCTGTGGGTTTCCAGCTGAGCTCTGTAAAGTACAGCAGCGGCCCCATCCCTGCAGGAAACAGGCTTATCAGCTGTTGTTTTCTGTGCTCATTTCAGCCGGTGAGAAAAACCCCTCTAGACTTTTCCTTGGAGTCATGCACGTCTGAAGTTGTCTGTGAGAGTTGTCACTTCAGCCACTGTCGTGTGGTGCTCTGAATATCTAACTTCACGTTCCTCCTGGAACAGGGGCAGACGAGGACGTGTAACCTTGGCCCTTGTTTATTTGCAACATCTGCTGTGGTCGGTGCCTTTCGGCTGCCGTGGTTGCACTTCTGTCTGTCTGTCCGGGAGCCCGATGCTTGACATGGGCAGCAGTGAAGCATGGGACGGCATGCTGCAGATGCCCAACCGGGGCTCGCATGGACCTGACAGGTTCTGGGATTGGAGGCTAAGCTGTCTTCTGCAGGGCCCGGGCAGTCCCTGACCCATGGGGGTTGTGCTGGAGGAGCAGGTGGGCGGCCTGTCGCGACCCCGGGCCTGGCTGCGAGGCACAGTTGGTGTTCCATTCCCGGTTCTAGCCGTTGCCATCCTGGCTCCCCGTCAACACGCGGGTGCCCCTTGTTCACGCTCACGTCCTTTAAACCTCAGCGTGCCGAGTCCTGGGTTTCACGTTTGATGGCGGTGAGAAAAGGTCCAGGCTTTGGTCGTTTTCCCAGATTTTTAACAGAGCTTTCAAAAAATTTACTTTTGATTGTTTTAAACTTGTTAGTTGTAATTGTTTTACATAATTTATTAATAAAAGAATTTCTGAAACACGTGTGCTTGTTTTGTTCTGTTCTGCTCTAGAAATGGGTTTCCCAGGCCAGGCCCAGGCAGAATGGCCTGACCTGTCCTGTGTGTCGGGGGCGGTCTCTGTGCTCTGGCCTCTGGCTGGGGCATCAGGGTGGGTGCAGCCCTAGCTCCCCCAGCATGGACCAGCCATCCTGGTCCTGTCTCCAGAGGAGACCTTTGCTTTCGTGCGGGAACTAGAGCCTTGGGCTCTCCAGCATCTGCCGGTGGGTCACAGGCTGGAGCCTTCATGGAAGGGAGATACGGGCATCACGGTGGGCGGCGCGCTCTGTTCCCCTTGCGTCGGTGGTGGGGTGGGGATGTCCTGGTGCTCAGCGCTGACCTGCCGCCCGGAAGAGAACCGGGCCAGGCTGGGACAGCTATGCTGACCTGGGGGGAATCACTTGAGCTCAGGCCCGGCCCCTGCCGCTCCACTGGCCTCTGCGCCTCCCAGCACGTGGCTACAGTCTCCCAAGCCAGATTTCTCAGGTGTAAACTTACTGGATCTGGCCTCTGAGCGACTTTTATCCAACGCAGGAGCGGCTTGTTCATGCCAATCGTTCTCTCCATGAGGGCACACCGCCCCAGAGGCTGTGGGGAAAAGCGGGGCACAGCCAGGCGCACCTGCACAGATGCCTGATGGTCAATGCCAGTCCGGCCCAGGGTGTGGTGGAGATGAAATGCAGCTAGAAAGATGTCCCGAGCAGAAACCAGAAGGTCACTTCAAGGTTGTTCTAGAAATGTATTCATGGGGAGAAGCATTTGTAGTCGAGATGACTTTTGTTAAATGTTAGCTGGTGGGATTGGCTGCCCATTGGTGGAAACACTCCAAGGCCAAGCCTCTGGCTCTCAGGCTCCCCTATAGAGCAGGTGAAGCAATCCATGAGACCTGGGGTTTGGCAGTGAGTGAGGGCAGAGACATAAAGTCTGGGCCAAGGTCTGGAGCCCGACCCCGCATGCCCAGCATGCAGCTTGCTTGTGTCCTCCGGGGCCCAGGCCACCCAGCTGCTCGGGGCCTCCCGAACCACGTGTGCAGTCCCGTGTGTGCGACAGTTAAGGACTGGCTGGGCTCCTGGGGCTTGCTGATGTCACTGAGGCAGGGCGGGCGGGGGGTGGGTGCTCTGGGCAGACAGGTAGCCTTGCCTTGCCTGCCAAGAGAGCAGGGAGCACACGCCATGCCCGCCGGCCCCACTGCCGGCTCCGCGGCTGGCCCTTCCCCGGCCAGGGGCAGCCCAGCCATGAGAGAGGTGGAGCCCAAGGACCAGCCGCTCACGGTGAGCATCCCCCTTGTGTTCCCAGGCTGCCACCTCCTGACCCTCCTGGTGCCTTGTTGGCACGGGTCAGTGTGCGGGGCTGTGGGTCCCCTTCCAGGGCCTTGCCTCTACTCCCCTGTCTCTCTGCCTCTTCCCCCACCCCCTGCCAGCCCTGTGATCCCCCCAACAAGCTCCAGGCCCTGCGGGGGGACTTCAGCCTACTTGGTGGTTGGTGAGCTGAGGTCGGTTACAGGGAGACCCTTGTGGAGCAGGGTGCAGGGCCCTGGTGCATTGGGAGGATGGGGAGCAGCCTCCGGTGGGGGGGGGGGGCTCTGGATGGCAGCCGCCATGGTGTTCTGCCCACAGGTAGCACTTCGGATCCGCCCGCTCAGTGACACAGAACTGGAGGAAGGGGCCGCCGTCATCGCCCACAAGGTGGGGGACCAGGTGAGACCAGAGGGGCGCGGGGCGGGGGCACAAGGCGTGCATTCATGGGATTGCGACACTCACCTACATGTGCTTCGCCAGCTCAGCTGTTCCCAGCTATTTCCCACACCAGGCAGAGCTGAGAGGAACACAGGACCGTCCCCATCCTGCTTGTTGTCACAGAGGATCAAGCAGGGCAAAGGGGTCACTCTCAGACCTGGAGCAGTGCCCAGAGGAGGCGAGAGGGGGCGGTCCTGGCAGAAGGGGAAGTCAGCCCCCAAGGTTGGGGCGGGGGGCGTGTGTGGCCGCTCTGAGGACACAGGGCAGGAGAGGCAGAGGGGACCAGAGCCCTTCGGCAGGTCTAGCTAAGGGTCTAGGGCCCTTGTTTGAAAAGGGCCCCGGGTAACGACGGTAATAGCGGGTTCTGCCGGGACCCCACTGTCCCTGAGCTGTCCCTGCAGGTGACGGGAGTCGCATGGCAGAATGAATACCAAGTATGGGCTAAGACAGATTTTGTCAGATGAATTGGATTTTTCCGTTTGTCATTAGAAAGGCAGTTGTAATGAGGGATTGAATGTCGTGCCTAGGAGAAGGTTTGCACGTCAGAGGCGAAGTACCAGGATGTTGGGGAGCCCTGGCTGCCAGTCCCCTCCAGGTCGGGTGCCCTGTGCTGACCTGGCAGCTGGGGAGCTGTAGAGGACGCTGTGGGACAAGGAAATGGACAGCCGTCTCGGTGGTGCGGACACCTCGGGGTGCCCTGGGCAGAGGCTGCGGTGAATTTAGATCCATGGGGTGCCCCGGGCAGAGGCTGCGGTGAATTTAGATCCATGAGCAGCCCATGGTGACAGTCATTACACTGGGGGGAGCAGAGTCTTGCAGGGACGAATCCGGCTCAGGTGCGAAGAGTGTGGGTGTTCTTACTATGGAAGCAGCATCACTCCTGCTGAGTTCACGTGCTAAGTGAGCTGGGGGTCAGGGATGCGACGGGAGACCCAGCCGGGCTGCTGTCACTTGGGGACTGGTGACCGCCCAGAGCAGGGACTGCCTTGTGCGTGGTCAGAGGAGGAAGAGAAGGCCCTGTCACATAACTCTGAAGGCAGAATAACAATTTGCTGGGATCGATAGTGGTTCTCAGGGTAGTGTCATTAGTCCCCAGACCTTGGTGCTGGCCCATCTGGAAACGACGGACGTCCCCCCGGGGAGTGCCCCCACTGTCCACGGTACCTCCTGTCCTCCCTGATACTGGAAGTCAGTAGGCCCTCTTTTCGTCCTGGCGGTCACACACCTGGGAGGTGACCAATCCCCAAGCGAGAAGTGTCCCCTGCTGGCCCTGGTCCCGGGCAGCTCCGTGGGCATGAGCGCTGCCCAGAGGTTCCCACAGGTCATGTTGAGACTTTCTCCCACTCCTCTGGCTTTGGGGATCCGGTGTCTTGAGGGAAACAGGACACTTCTGGAGGGCGGGGAAGGAAGTGGCATTTGTGAGTTGAAGCTTCATGTTTCCCGGGGCCATTGTCCTTCTGAAGCCTTGGACCTTGTGACCTGGCTGGTCTGCTTGGCACAGGTGGGGCTGTGTGTGCGAGGTCCCTGAGGCCCTCTCTGCCCTCCCTTCCCCCACATGCCTCCTGCTCTGCTGTTCCTTCCATTGCAGGGTCCTTTCAGAGCCCACCTGGGGCCTGGCTCCAAGGCCCCCTTGCTCCGGACTGCACGAAACACAGCTGGGTTTTTAAGAACTGGAGGGAGACCCCTGTGACTTACAGGTCACCATTTTAAGCTGAGCAAGTTAGTGGCTGTGAGGACACGCAGCCCTGGGCAGGCACCACCTCTGTCCAGTTCGAAACATTTCCGTCTCCCGGGAAGGGTCCCCTGCCCACTCTGAGCTGCCCCCCACCCTCCCCTGGCCCCTGCTGGCCAGCTTGCTGACCGAGGCCCACGGGGTGTGGCCTGGTCCTACCCAGGCTGGTGGTTCTGAGGCTCATCTGTGTGGTGGCACATCCACGTTTCTGTGTAACACCATGTTCTGATGGGACCTCAGGCCAACCAGAGGCAGAGAGACCTGGGTAAGAGCCCCCATGTTGTCTGCCGCCACGTTTACCCCACAGGGGCGCCTGGCCTCTTCTCCCTGTGTGTATGCGCTCCCTTTGACTGGGCTGCTAGAGACGTTGTGCCCCTCCGCCCCCAGAGATGTCCCTGTGTGTTACCTAAAAACACGGATATTCTGCGACCATGGGACAGTGACCAAAATCAAGAAGTCGATACTGATGATAACTCACCAGCACATGTGTTTATGGCTGGCTCTTTTCTCTCAATCGTGTTATTTTATAGCAAATTTAAAAAAAGGTTTGTTTTTTGCATATGAGAGCCATTGCAACTGATACTTCTTGGATACTGAGCATGTGATTGCTTGTGCCCCTTACGTCTGTGGGTTCTGCTCCCAAGTCCACCTTATACATGGGAAAACAGTGCCCAGGTTGGTGGGGAAACTTGCCCGAGGACTTCCGCTGGTGGGAGCCTGTTCTGAACCTACCGGGTCCCCTGACATTCTGGCCTGCCTGATAGCGCGCTCACCTGGTGGAAACTGTGTGGATGGGGGCTGCCCCCACCGGATCCCTTTCCTGAGATCCTCTCCACAAGGTTTGAAAGTGGTTAGCTTATGTCATGGAAAACTTGTTGGCCCGAAGCCGGGGCAGGCCTCGGGGGCTCCCAGCCCTGCCTGACTCCCCAGGAGCCTCTGGGCAGCCCTTGCCTCCTGAGGCCTCTGTTTCCAAAGCTATGGACAGAGGGAGGGGTTGGCTGGGTGGCCAGTAGGAGTGCGGGTACACAGGTTGGCCAGGCTTTTGGTCTGGTCAGTTGTGTATGCAGGATTCACCCGGCGCCCATGCTCCCCACCAGCCCAGGAGCTCCTCCCGCAGTAAACAGCTGATTGGTCTCTAATTGCTCTGCCCCCCATCCCCAGAGGCCCTTCTACACCGTGCTTCGTAATTATGTATTTGTATGAGATGGGAGAGGCCCGGGGGAGGGGGCCACCTTGCACTGGCTTGGAGCAGCAGAGGGGACCACAGAGCTTGGGGGTGGACAGGAGGGGCATGGGCGCACACTTGGGCACCCCAGGGTTGGGGGTGGTATGGAGCGACCCAGCTCCTGCCATCCCCTCTTCCTTTAATTCATCAAAGGGCCCTGTCCCTATTGAATGGGTGCTGGGGTGCCGAGCTCTGCAGGCCCGGGGCAGGGGTGCAGGAACGGGGATGGGAGGTGGAGAGGATGCCCAGGGCTGGAGGACCAGCCCCCTACCCCCGTGCCCCGGCTGAGCAAAGAGGCCTGCAGCCCTCCTGGGATGCAGACTAAGTCCCGGGCCTTCTCAGGCAAGAACCAGGCCTGGGGTCCTTCTGGGCACATGGAGCCCACCCTGATTCTGTGAGTAACCTCTCCTCTGATGCCTCCCTCCCCCGCCGCAGACGGTGGTGCTCATGGGCCCCAGCGAAGATCCTGAGGACACGCTGCGCACACACCGGTCGCAGGAGAAGACCTTCATCTTTGACGCTGTTCTGGACCAGCATGCGTCACAGGTACCCTGCGGCCCACCGGCCCCTCTGAGCTCCCACGGGGGCTCACCAGACCCTGGAGCCCTCCTAGGGAGGACTCAGTGGCCAGGTGGTCCCGTCCACCACTTGTCACAGGAGTCTCCCTGCTGAATAAGGGGCTGGCACTTGGGTTGACCTGGGGCAGGGAGCGGGAGGCCGCACGCTCGGGGCCCCGGGTTCACACACGTTCTCGTTCGTCCATCCAGACAGGGCAGGTCCCCTCTGCCACGTGGCTACAGCATGCTCCCCACCCACATGGGCCCCCATCCAGTGAGGGAGGCAGGTGCTGAGTGAGCACTGTCGTGGGGGCACCAGCAAGGCATGCGGCGGTGAGCCGGGATCTGGAGGAGGGGTGAGCCAGCGGGGACAGCTGTAGGGGACGAGGGGTCCCGGCGTGGGCCTTAGCTGGCCCTTTCCGCAGACCGATCGTGGGAGTCCCAGCATCAGGCTGCACTCACTAGCACCCTCCCACAAGGACGAAAGGCTGTCCAGCTCATCCCCTGACCCCCACCTGTGAGAGGGGTCTCATCACCCTACGCCATAGAGGGGAGCCTGGCGAGTCCGGCAGAGCAGGATTGGCACCCGGGCTTCTGGAGATGGGAATGTCCGCCAGGGAGAGGACATCTAGGGAATGTTTGGCCCCGAGACCTGTCCAACCCTGCCCACCCTATCCCTGCCCGCTGGGCCCCAGCATGGCTTGTCTCTGACACACCGGCCACCTGGGGACACCGGGAGTGGCCCCCCGCTTCAGGACACAGCCGTAGTTCTATTGAGAACAGATGTGCTCCGCATGGCCGAGCCAGGTGTTGTCCGAGTGGACATGTGCTCTTACTCCCAAGATCTTCGTGGGGCTGGAAGTAGGAGGGAGTTGAACAGCGGCCCCTGCGGAAGGCTGTCCTCGTGTTCATGGTCCTGCCAGCCTCTCGGAAAGCTCTCCACGCTGTCCTGTGATGGGGCCCCATTGTACAGATGGGGAAACCGAGGCTGTATGCTAGAGAGTTGCAGGCCAGGTCCCAGCCCCTGATGATGTAAGTCCAGAGCTAGGGAAAGCAGTACCCATGCCCAGATGCTGTGAGCCGTGTTACCAGCCAGGGCTACTGGGACAGTTCTGTGACGTGGGGAGCAGGGTCCAGACGGGTGCCCAGGAAGGGCAGCAGATACGGCATTGTCGTTTCAGTCAGGTCCAGCCATACATACACACCTTGAGGTGTCCTTCCTTGAATACCCCTGTGGGCAGGGAGCTCACTACCACACTTGTTGCTAGGTGTTGCTACCTTACATGGGATTTTGTGGGCCTGAGATTGGTCAGGCCTGTCCTGGTTTTATCCCATGATGAGGAGTCCTGATGCCCTTGCAAGTGTGCTGCCTTCTAGTCCCAGGCACCGTGTCTGACTTCTCTCGGCTTCTGAGAAGCCTGGTGTGGCCCCATCCGCGTCCATCACCAGACATGTGACAGGCCTCATGGCAGGAGCTGTCATACACGCTCGTGTGTAATCCTTGCTGGTGGCTTCTCCAGGAGCCCGGCCCCTCTCTCTCCCTGGGGTGGCACAGCAGCAGGATGGGGACTGGAGCCCATGCCGCATCTAGACTGGCCCCCTCCCGACGGTCCCTGGCCATGTGCAGACACCACACACCGGTCCGACTCTGGCTGGGTCACATGTCCCATTGTCTGTCCTTCCGTCTGTCCACAGGAAGATGTGTATCGTGCCACCACCCAGCACCTCGTGGAAGGCGTCGTGTCTGGGTACAACGTGACAGTGTTTGCCTATGGCCCCTCAGGTACCGCCAAGGGCAGGGCCCCCAGAGGGGGCGGGACTGACAGCCATAGTGCTCTCCCTCCCAGCACTGAGCACCACCCTGCACCAGTGTGTGCTGCTCTCCCTGCGCCCACTGGCTCCTTCCATCCTCGCTGCGGCCCCATGGGCAGTGAGTGCCACCCCTTTGGCACACACAAGGAAGCTGAGCCTCAGAGAGCACACACGGCTGGTAGGCGTGCACGTGGGGGTCCAGCCACGTCTGCCCCTTGCTGCCCACGAGACCCCACAGACATCTCCCCAACTAGCAGTTGGGCTCCACGATGGTCCCCAAAGCTTAGCCACCTCTCACATCCTGAAAGCCAGGATGGCAGAGTTTGGAGCAGATGGGAAGACGGAGGCCTGGGAAGCCCCTGGCCCAGGGTCATGGCCTGGGGACGTCACTCACGCCGTGGATGTTAACACGTACCTACTGCCTGCCAGGTTCTGGTAGAGGCGGGTCTTTGGGGAGCAGAGGCTGGGGGCAGGTGGCGTTCCTGTCCATAGGCACGAGCCCCGCCCCTGTGTCCGGGGTTTCTTGTGCAGAGGAGCCATCAGACTTTCGTGGACTTCCCTTTGCCCCTGTTTCTGAAACAGAAAATGAGCATGTCTGAGGGTTCAGCATGATTTGCCTAAGGTGGCGGAGGTGTGGACTGTCAACTGGTGGCACGTGTCTGGGCAAGGTAGGAGTCCGCCTCAGAGTCCCCGCCCTGGTGGCTGTCCACCTGCCCACAGGCGCGGGGAAGACCTACACCATGCTGGGCATGGACGCGGAGCCCGGCATCTACCTGCGGACCCTCACCGACCTCTTCCAGGCCATTGAGGAGACCCGCGACCATGCGGACTGCAGCGTGTCCATGTCTTACCTGGAGGTGAGCCTGCCCGCTGGCCTCCTGGGAGACCACAGCCCTTGGGGCGTCGGAGTTCTGCTGAGATGTACCTACTGTGCTGTTCTTGCCCCAAAGCTGCTGCATTTCCCGCTTGTGTCTGTCCTCCCAGATTTATAACGAAGTGATCCGGGATCTCCTGAACCCATCCTCGGGGTTCTTGGACCTGAGGGAGGATTCTCGGGGCAACATCCAGATCGCAGGCATCATGGAGGTCTCCACCTCGAACGCCCAGGAGGTGAGGGTCACCAGGGCCCACGGAGGGAAAGGGGCCTCGGCCTCAGCCGCCACGCTCGCCAGAGCTCACGGAGCGGAGCCAGACACACAGCCTCACGTTGTTTCCCCGCTAACGGGGTGGCAAACGGTGCGTTCAGGGCAGACATTGCTGACCACTGTTCCCTCTGCGCCCAGATGTGGGTGAGGAGCCCAGTCCCACACAGCACCCCAGCCAGTCCCAGCCCGTCTGAAATCCCCCATGTGCTCTGTGGTCCCAGCACCTCCTGGCACACAGTGGGCACCCCACCGAGGCTGGCTGGCCTGGTTCCTGCAGCGGCTTGCACACAGATGGGTTCCAGCCCACCTGCCAACCTCAGCGAGCCTGTATGCCTGCGGGGTTCTGTGGCGGAAGGTTCTAGAACTGGTCCTGGCTGTGTGGGGAAGATGTGGGCGACCCAGTGACAGGGTCTGCCATGGGTAGAGGAGGGGGAGGGTGACACCAGTGTCTGCCCTCTGCCATCCCAGCTGGATTGGTTAGCTCGATTGATGGGTCACTCCGAGCCATAACCGAGACACTGCTTCTACCAGACAAGGTTCTGCAAAGAGCTGCCCGAGGGGGGCCGGGGGACCAGCCCTCCTCTGGGCCCCACGTGGTGCTGGGGGAGTGTGTGGCCCCCCCCTGCCCAACTCCGCTTGTGTCCTCAGATCATGCAGCTCCTCACCAAAGGCAACCGGCAGCGCACGCAGGAGCCCACGGCCGCCAACAAGACATCCTCTCGCTCCCACGCAGTGCTACAGGTTACTGTGCGCCGGCGGAGCCGCGGGGCAGACTCGCTGGAGGAAGTGCGCATCGGGAGGCTCTTCATGGTGGACCTGGCGGGCTCGGAGCGGGCGTCACAGGTTCTTTGACCACCCCCCACCCAACATCCCTGCGGTTACTCCTCGCGGTCTGTGAGCGGGTCCCTGCCCCTCCTCGTCTGCCAGTGCCCGCAGCTCCCAGGATGGCGCCCGCTCGCGACCTGCTTCCCGCGCGCATGGAGTCTCAAGTGTTGCGAGGCAGAGCCCGCAGGGCTGGTACCTGCAGGCTTGTAGGTCTTGAGTGGCAGGCTGTCCCGACAATGAGCGGCATCCAGACCCGCCCCAGTGCCGAGCCTCTGGGGGGAGGACAGATGCATGAGCTGATGAAGAAGGCCCGGGGAGGCCTGTGTTTAGAGATTGGGGTCCATGCAGAGGCTGTGCGAGCCCAGAGGAGGGCAGGGTGCTGGCATGCAGTCTCAGGGCTGAGCCTGAGGGGGTCCTTAGGAGTTTGGTGGGATGCAAGGAAGGGCATGTCAGGTGGAGGGAACAGTGTGTGCAAAGCGTGGCTGTTAGGAGGACGGCACCCAGTTTACTCCAGCCCAATGTGGATGTAAGCCTGACAGTCCTTCTGAGGGTCCCACCTGCCTGCCCCCGAGCTCTTGGCTCGCCTGTCCTTGGAGGTACCTGTCACTAGAAGTGGGGGTTGTGCTTACCTTCTGCCCAGCCCAGGGCCAGGCACAGAGCGCGTGCTGGACGGAGGCCGCGCTCGCACAGTAGTGTTGTCACCAAATGCCCAGGCCTTCAGCAGGTGTAATCCATGTAATCCCCCCAGCAGAGGATAAGGTGGGCTGCAGATGTGGGGGCTGGGCTCCAGGTGGTGTGGTGACTTGGCGGTGCACAAGATATTCAGTGTTAGATCCAAGCTTTGGACCCGGGGGTGTCTTGCCCAAATCCGTGCCGTCTGCTGCTGTGTTAGCTGGCCCCCGGTTTGCACTGACACTCTCTGTTTGGGGTTTGATCACGGGGTCGTCGCATCTGTTCACACCCTGCCCTTGGTGTGCCTGTAGCCGGAGTGAGCAGGGCCGGGCCAGCGGCCAGGGGCAGACTGCTTTGAAATGCCATGTGTTCATAGACCATTTGACGCACAGTAGGGCCAGGAGACCCGGAGACGACCGCCATTGGGAAGATAGTCCTACTCACAGTTCGCAGAGGAGAGCGTGTGGGATTTCATGTTGGGGGGCAGTAGGGCCGGTCAGCAGGCAGAGAAAGGCCGCACTGTGGGCAAGAGCCTTCTTGTGGTTTCCCCGGGAGGAGCAGGCGTGGTGGGGTGAGCAGGCTCAGGATGGCTAGTTGGAGTAACTTCCATGGCTCTGGGGCATAATGGCTATTTGTCTGGTCCCCGGGGCCCTGGGGGATTCATGCGGGGTGACAGTGGCCCAGAGTGAGGTGGCAGAGGTGTGGGCTCTGGGTTGGTGGTCTGGATTTGAAAAGCTTGTTCTATATCGCTGGGAATTGGCTAATGCTGAGAGGGGCAGTCCCTCCAGGGTCAGCAAGGACCCCAGTTGTCAGAGCATTAGAGCACTGAGGGAAGGGCATGGCTGACCCATGGACAGATGTGGGTACAGACAAGTTCACATAGGGGGACCTCATGTGACAGAGGTCTGGGACTCTGGCCTGTTCTAGCTGGGCCCAGCTGTGTCCTCGGGACAAGATGGAGAGGGTTGCCAGGAGGGGTCCAGGGTCTGGGTCTTTGCTCTCACTCTACTCTGACTTGCTGTGTGCCTTTGGGTAAGGCACTGTCCCTCTCTGGGCCTTGGTTTGGGTTTAGGTGTATATTCAAGTGGCTTACGTGGGTTACTTTTATAATCTGCTTGCCTCTCACGAGCTGTTGTTTCTTCATAGAAAATCACTTGTGAGAGCCTTTGTTCCAGGGCACGAGGTCTCAGAGAAAGCCCCCCAACTCTATGAACAGACACGTGACATGAGCAGCTGCCCTGGCTCTGGCCACACTAGCAGCTGTGGTCCCGCCCTGCACCGGCTCCCCCATAACAAACGTAGTAGCTGGCATTTACCGCTTGCCTCTGGGGGCCTAGCCCGACCTGGCCTGTTGCACATGTTACACACTAAATCCTCCCCATTACCCCGTGAGGTTCGGAGAGTGAGGAAGCTGGGGCAGACTGGGAAATCTGTCCGAGATTCTCAAACCATGTTCCAGGTTGCCTCCCAAATCCACGCCCTTAATGAGAAAAACATTTTTTTTTTCTGATTTCAAATGTATTAGAAGCACAGTGCAGAAAACGTGGAAACTACAGATAAGGGGAAGAAAGTAAGAGACCGTGCCGTGCTTGCACTCAGAGGTGTTTATCCTAAGGGCATTTTGGCTCATCCGTGCAGCCCACACTGCGGGGTGGGTGCTGCCGGGGTCCTGGGCTCCGGGGACACTTGGCTACCAGGGAGCCTGGGGTCCATCGGGGAGTGGGCGGGCAGACGTGGAATGCAGCAGAGAGCAAGGCGGTTGCCGGGCTAGTGAAGTGGTGGAAGAAATAGGATGGGGGGCCGGCTGCTACGGTCCCCGCTTCGGAGAGCCGGGGGGGAGTGCCCCTACAGGAGGGGACGCTGAGCCACGGCCAAAGGTTGGGGAAGTTCCGGTGTGGGGGTTGCTGTCAGGACAAACCCCGGTCTGTGTCTCATGAAGGTGGGGCTCCTGTGCACAGACAGCCCCCAACCCCAGTTCTCATCTCACTTAACGAATAGCTTATAGTCCCGGTGAGCGTAAGCGCGTGGCTCTGCCTTGTCCCCTCCTGTAGCCATCTGAGCCATCCATGCGTGCCATCGGAGCCGTTCAGGCCCGGGAGGGATGGGCCAGCACACGGCCCGGCCCGGACCTCTCTTCTCCCGCCCAGACCCAGAACCGCGGCAAGAGGATGAAGGAGGGCGCCCACATCAACCGCTCCCTGCTGGCTCTGGGCAACTGCATCAGCGCACTCAGCGAGAAAGGTGGCAGCCGGGCGCAGTATGTGAACTTCCGGGACAGCAAGCTCACAAGACTGCTGAAGGTACAGCCCACACGCCTCGTAGGGGGCGTCCCTGCCAGGAGGGAGGCCCGGACCTGGGTCTCAGGGCCCCTCCAGGAACCCCTGAAGGCACAAGAACCCTGTACAAACCATGCCTGGTCACTGCCTGACTCTCACCCCATCCATCTGAGGAGGGGTCAGCCTGAGCTTGCACACTCCTAGTCACAGGGAGCTCACTACCTTCCTGATGCTGCCTGTCCTATCTTGGATAGTCTAACAGTGAGACTTTCCCCTCTTTTCTGAGCTGGACACTGTCCCCTCTATTTATGTAGCAAGGGTGGAGGTGAACAGGCCAGCAAAGCAGTACATAAACGTTCCCGTAGACTCGGCTTCTCAATCTACTCTGTTCTCATCAGAGCAGAAGTCTGCCGGGGTGGGCCAGGTGCAGATCTCACTTTGTCCTGGCGTCCCCTCTCTGAGCACCAAACCCTTGGTCCTGGCATTGCCTGCCTTTCTCAGGGTTTGGAGCAGGAACCGCAGAGGGCTGGTCCAGAGGGGCCTGGGACAGGAGGTGGGGTCCCGTTATCCTCACCTCCACCAGGACCTTCTGCTGAGCAGGATGCCCTGGGGGGAAACAGCCGCACGGTGATGATCACGCACATCAGCCCGGCCAGCACGTCCTTCGAGGAGTCTCGGACCACCCTGCTGTACGCCTACAGGGCCAAGAACATCAAGACGCGGGTGAGGCCCCCACGTGCCGAATTCTCACTCCACGCTCCCTCCGGAACCTCTGGGGGTGGTCCCCCTTCCACCCCGGCTCCTGGCAGTGCTGGGTGTGTGGCGCCTGACTTCTCTGTTTGTCCCTTCTCTTCTCTGATGAGGACGCAGGCCTTGGGTTTCGGGCCCCCCAAATCCAGGACGGTCTTGTATTGAGATCCCTAATTACATTTGCAAAGACCCTTTCTTCACATGAGGCCCCAGTCACAGGGCTTGGGATGTTTCCGACATGGATTTAGCTGTCCTCCAGGTGCACTGTGAGCTCCAGATGTCCCTGGAAGGTGGGGCCTGTTATCCCGTTCTGCAACCTGGGCAGCCAAGGCATGGAGAGAGAGAGAGAGAAAGCCACTTCTCCAACCTTCCACAGCCTGAGCAGAGCAGGCTCACAGCGCAGGGTGCCCGGCTCTGGGGACAGTGCTGTAAGCACCGGCTTCTCTGGCTCTGGCTTCTGTGCTCAGCGCAGAGGGCTCGCGTCAGGAGGCCGGGCGTGGGTTCGGGGATGCATGCCTGGCAGCCAGCGAGGAGATCTGTGATCCTCTCCAGCAAACCTGGGTCGAGCCCTCCCTGCCACACAGCCCTGAGCTCAGTGGCAGGACGGCCTGTGCTCTCAGCCAAACTGTGAGCTTCGCTGCGGGTGTGGGGGGCAGATGGCAAACCCCACCTCCCACAGATCAGTATGTCACTTCCAACTATGCTCAGTGCTCTAAATGGCAGCCACCGGGGTGCTACAAGGGCGAGTGGCCGGGAAGACAGAGCTGAGAGGCTGGGTCGAGGACGCTAGGCCTCGAATGTAGGAGGGCAGGGTGTGCGGATGGCGACCAGCCCTTTCACCCTCCAGACCCACCAGAGAGAGACTCGGGCCCACGTGCTCGAAAGCTCCAAAGTGCCTACAGAAGGGGACGGGGTGTGCAGACGGGTGCATCCTGCCGTGGACCGCTGTGCGGCTTTGGAGGGAATGGGCGAGGCCCGGCTGTGCGGATGGAGGCCTCCCAGCCACAGCACTGGATGAGGAAACCAAGTTAGAGAAGAGCACTGGGGGGCACCCGGCAGGCCCAGTAGGTGGAGCTGGCGAGTCTCAATCTCAAGGTCATGGGTTTGAGCCCCGTGTGGGGCTGGAGCCCTGGTCTGATATAATTTACATAAAAAACCGAAGCCACCTCTACTGAGAAGCCCCGTGTGTGTTTGCAGATATGTACGTCTGCAGAGAACCCCAGAGGGGACGGTCCAGAGGGCGCCGATCAGAGTGATCGCAGCGCTTACCCAAGCGGAGGGGCTTTCAACAATTCTTGACAGATCATGGGAAATTTCTTGACTGTGGCAAAATATGCATGACATAAAATTTGCCATCTTCACCATTTCTCAGTGTCCAGTTCAGGGGCACCGTCCAGCTACAGAATGTTCCATTCCCACACATGGAGACCCTGTCCCTGTGATGCACAGACCCCCAACCACTCCCCCAGTCCCGGCCCCACCATTTGCTCTCTGTGTCTGTGAGGCTGAGGACTCCGGGTCCTCATGTGTGTGGGGCTCCCGGGCGTGTCCTTCTGTGTCTGGCTGGTGTCCTCAGGGCTCATCCCCATGGGGTAGGAGTCCGGTTCCCTCTGTCTTTAAGGTCAAGTTGCATCAATCTGAATTTTCCTAACCAAATGTGCCGTCATCCTCATGGCATCATGAGCATGTCACGTGGCGGGGCAGTTTCCGTAAGTGCTGACCTTGGCTGTGGGTCCCCCCCGCCACCAGGTGAAGTGTAACCTGCTGAATGCGTCCTCCCGTATTGCGCAGTACACAGACGTCATCTCTGATCTGCGCCGGGAGATCGAGCGCCTCAAGTCCAAAACTGAGACTCAGGAGGAGGAGAGGAGAGGCGACCCCGGTACCCGGGATGCACAAGGTAGAGCCAAGCTCCTGGGGTCCCTGTGGTTTTGCTGCCTGCGCCCCCAAGCTCGTGGCTGTGGCCATGGGCTTCAGTCCTTACCTGCCACGCACTGCCTTCTGTTTCCTGGCCCACAGCGTGTGGGGGGAGCGGCCGCCTTCCCTGCCTTCTCCTGAGCACCTCCTTTCTACCTTCCTGTCCTTCCCACCCTCGTACTTTTTTGTTTCTTCCTTCCTCCCAGATCAGTTTCTCTTTAAAAACACAGTCTTCCATTCCAGAATAATTTTAGATTTACAGAAGAGCTGCAGAGATAGTACAGAGAGTTCTCCACTCCCCCCAATGTCAGCATCTAAATTTGTATTTATTTACTGAGGCAAAGCTCGCACAACTTATAGTTCACCATCTTCGCGTGTACAGCTCAGTGGCGTTTGTGGCTTGTCTGAGGTGCCCTGTGGCCGCCACCTCTGCCTGGTCCCAGAGCAGACCCTGTGCCTATCACGCAGTTTCTCTCCATTCCCCCCTTCTTCCCAAACCAGCCTTCAGTAGGTCTCCCTTATGGGTCAGCATATCATAACTTTTCCAAAAACTATAAAGCTAACCGGTAGGTAAAAAATGTGTCCTTAAAAACACCAGGAGAAATGTCAGGTATATGTAAGTATATGTATATATACTCTCCTTGCCACTCTCACTCGCTCTGTCCTCCCACGTGGCTCCATCCCATCATCTCGAATTGAATTCCAGACATCGTATCACTGTATTCAGAAATAGGTCAGGATGTACTCCCCAAGAAACAAGGACTTGGCCAACACAAAACAGCGGTGCCTTTCCCACACCTGAGAGGATGCTCCCGCATTTGCTGGCGTCGTCGGATGGTGGGTAGGCAAGGCCAGCCGTGTCACCAGGCTACACCTTGAATGTGGTCTCTTCTGTTCAGTGGCCATCCACTGAATCCTCTTCGTGGTTTTCCTTTCGATTCTAGCTCAAGAACCTGAGTCGTTTGTCCTGTGGGTTTGCCGACTGCTCTGTGCTCTGAGGTCCTATAAGTCAGGCATTGTGTCTAAGCACTGGGAAGAGGGGGCATTGTCTGAGGTCACTGCTGTCATTTTGATGTGAGCCTGTCGTATTCTGTGCAGCATCATGGACACTGGCGTCCAGAGAGGGCCATGTGGGGTGTGTGTGTGTGTGTGTGTGTGTGTGTGTGTGTGTGTGTGTGAGAAGCAGGGCGTCGGCTTTGGGCTGTTCTGCGAGTGACACCAGCCTGCAGCACTTCTTCTGTTCCTTGTTTTCCTCACATAGTGGCGTGTCCTGGGGGCCGTCCACCTGCGCTGTGGATCTGCCACATTCTTTCAAACAGCCACAGAGCATTCCATTGGAGTCTATCTCATCCCATCTGATGGGTACTTTGGGGCTTTCTAGCTACTCAGCCTCCTTAGGCACATGGGTGTCCCTCTGTCTTAGGTGACTTGGAGGGCTCAGGGTTCTGTTGGAGCAAGAGGGTGAAGGAAGTATTCAAAGGGAAGGGGCTGTGGTTGATGGAAGACTGAGACCTATGGGCCAGTGGAGGGCTGGGAAGGCCAGTGGGAAGGAAGATGGGGTGGTTGTAGAGAATTTGCAAAGCTGGGTGGTCACCAGGATGTTTGGGCTTCTTCGGGGTTGGGAGTCAACAGAGATGTGTGCCGCAAGGGCTTTCACCCGGACGGGCTCTTAATTATTGGGACTGGTCCTAGGTGTTCTGGAGAGACAGGCAATGTTGCAAGGGGTGGTGGTCTCCTGGTGAGCCCTGAGGGGGTGATGGGCTCCCTTGGGTCCTGCTGTGGTGTGCCTGGGGCGGCAGTGGGACCCTGGTGTACACGCCTCTGTCAGAAGCATTTTGAGCATTTCCAGATCTTGTTTTTTTTTTTTTTTTTAAGATTTTATCTATTTATTTGATAGAGATCACGAGTAGACAGAGACGGAGGGAGGGGAAGCAGACTCCCTACTGAGCAGAGAGCCCGATGTGGGGCTTAATTCCAGGACCCTGGGATCATGACCTGAGCCAAAGGCAGAGGCTTTAACCCACTGAACCACCCAGGTGCCCCAAAATCTTGTTTGTTTTTTTTTTTAAGATTTTATTTATTTATTTGACAGAGAGAGAGACACAGCAAGAGAGGAAATACAAGCAGGGGAAGAGGGAGAGGGAGAAGCAGGCTTCCCGCCAAGCTGGGAGCCTGATGAAGGACTTGATCCTAGGACCCTGGGATCATGACCTGAGCCGAAGGTAGACGCTTAACTCCTGAGCCACCCAGGTACCCCAAGATCTGTTTTAATGACTAAGTAGTCTAGTCTCTGGAGGCAGTACTCATTTTACCCATCTCAGATCACTTGGTATTTAAGGAAAACGTGCCCCTTGATCACTGCCCTCCAGGTCAGGGGAACAGACCGTGTGTGGCCAGAGTGGAGCTGCTGTGGGGCAGCCAGGGAGTACTGTCCATGAATCATGGACAACGATTAGGTAGGAACTTACATGGGAAACAAAAAGAACTAGTTTGCTCTGTGGAACTGACATTCTAGCAGGAAACAGGTGTCAGATGTATCACAAAATGTTTATCAATCATCCGTATGCAGCGGACTATGACAGAGAAAGCAGGGTGTTACCAGCACAAGTGTCAGGTGGACCCAGATTGAGAATCTGAGAGGGTTTCCCTGAGGAAGCGACATCTGAGCTCAGATGGCTAGCCCAGCCATACCCCTCCTTGGGTGCCTGAGACTCAAATCCACGGTAATCTGACCTCAAGCCAGGGAAAGAGACCATCTAATTCATCCATTCGATTATTTATCTATCCGCCCATCCACCCATCCGTCTCTCCATCCATGATCCATCCATCATTCACCCATCCATCCGTCCATCATTCACACACCCCTCCATCTATCCATCTGTCCATCCATCATCTACTCTTCCATCCATTGATCCATCATTCACCCACTCATCCACCCATCCATCTCTCCATCCATGATCCACCCATCCACCCATCCATCCATCATCTACTCATCCATCCATCCATCCATCCATCCATCCCTCACCCATCCATTATCCATCCATCCATCCACTCACCCATCTCTCTAAACATGTATAGAGTTCCTTGGTGCAGACCCTGTGTTGGTGGGCAAGCAAGGTGTTCAAGCTGGGCTTAGGTGACACTGCTCCTGGGGCAGCTGGCTCTCTTCCCACCCCCAGTCATGATCCCTGCCCATGACGGAGAGGAGGATAGCTGCCTGCAGATGAACAAGATCCGGGCGCAGCTCATCCGGGCCTTTAAGGAGCAGCTGGAGATGCGGCGCAGCCTGGTGGAGCTGGAGAACACCAACATCGAGCTGCACGTTGACGTGTCCCGCCACCTGCTGACCATTGCTGAGTGAGTGTGCTCACGTGCCAGCCCCACGGGGCAGGGAGGCCAGCCAGGACACTACGGGCCACTGATGGGAGCACCTTTGTGGTACTGCCTGTAGGTCCCCAAGGGGGACTTTAGTGGGGGCACCCTGTGTTCCTGGGCAGGACTCCTGGCCCAATCCCTTCTTGCTGTCCTTCCCCTGCAGCCAAGCTGGGCCCAGTGGGAGATCCAGGTGGGAGATCCAGGTCCCCGCAATCTCTCTGTCCCAGCCTGGGGTCCAGAGCCAGCCCTGGCAGGTTAGGATCAACCCCATTTCACAGAAGAGGACTTTGAGGTTCAGAGGGGGTGTCCACCCACCAGGCCAGGACCCTTCTGCCGTTCTCACATCCTTGCTATTTGTACATACCGTGAATGGACTGACCACATACGGAGGGACTGTGCCGTCGGTCACCTGGAGTGGGATGCTTTTGAGCGGGGGAGGGGTGCTAGTTACAGTCACACCAGGAGCGGGGGTGCCCGGCCCTGCCCTGCTCAGACTGGGACGCCTGGGTCTGCTGCTTGCGGTAACCTACGCTGAGCGCTTTCTTGTCCCGTCCTCCCCGCATTTCTCCTTCTGCCGCTTCCTCCTTTCTGTGTATTTTCTGAGTTAGACACAGAGCGTGATACCTGCACCAGAGGAATTCTTCTACCCGGAGATCCACTCCATCCACACGCTGCCCCCAGCCCTGCTGCTTCTGTCCTCCCTTCCCGCTGTCCCCCCCGAACGGCGCCCACTGTTGTTCACAGCCTGCTGGTGGCCCTCTGAGGTTTTGCCCTGAGTGGAGGTGATCACACTAATCCTCAGAGCCCCAGTGTGCTCTTGCCCCCCAAGTCCTGTGGCCGAGGGAGCTGGGCTCAGCGGGGGCGTGTTTGCATGCAGGCGGCCAGCAGTCCCCGGGGCAGAGCTGGGGCTGGAGGCAGCAGAGTCCTGTGTTTCATCGTCCGACAATCCTGTGTAGTGTTCATTGCTTCTGTTTCCTTCCGGTTTTTGTCCGTGAGTTTTTGTGTTTTACAAGACTGGAAAGATGAGGCAGCAGACCAGCTTCTGCCCAGGCCTGTGGGTAGAACAGCCCGGGTGCGGCTTGCACCCTGACCCCTGGCCCCTCTGTTGTGGCTGCAGCTGGGAGCGGGAGAAGACCCATGAGCATGTGCACAGGGACAGGACACCAGAGAGGGACGAGATGCCAGCAGAGGCCGACGTGGATGGGGACGAGGGCGAGTCCTCGGAGCCACATGAGGTGGCTCTGGCCAGAGAGGAGGTCAACATGCTTTTGGCTGAGCAGCGGAAGACCACGGCCCTCAAGGTTGGGGGGGGGGGGCTGTGTGTACAGGGTCATAACAGCGGTGTGACCACAGTACACCGGGTGGGGCCTGCCACCACCATCCTGTAGATGGGGACCAGGCTCAGGGAGCTGAGATGAACTGTTCCACATCCCCAGGGACAGGGGAAGCCGACGGCAGAGTCCCTGCCCTTCATGCTAGTGATGGCCCCAGGGGGTGGCAGGGGTCAGTGCTCAGGAGGGGTGGCCCGGGAGACAGAGGAGCCAGTGGCCGTGGAGACGGGGCAGCTCCTGCCTGTCTGCGCAGACAGCCGCCCTCTCTGTCCAGAGCGGCAGAGCCTCCAGCTCCAGGGGTCCTGTGGGCAGGCGCTCCCCACGGGCCCATGCTTGCTTTGGTCTCTTGCTCTGTCTTCCCCGAGGCAAGTCTTGGGCACAGGCCGGAGGGACACGGTCAGAAGAAGTCAGTCCGGCTCCTCCCTACACTAAGGAGCCTCTTGCACAACCATGAGTTGTGACGCGGTGGCTCATCGTCTCGGGGTCCCTATTCTGGCATGGCTGCAGAGCCCCTGCGTCTGCGCAGTGGTCACCGTGCAGTATCTGTTCAGGCTCGTGGAGAGCCCCGTGGAGGAGGGGGTTGGGGTGCAGGCTCTGGGTTGGTCGGTCTGCTCTGGAGACCTGTGCTCCTGGGTAAGTGGTTTAGGCCCTTGGGAACCAGCTCACCTGGGAGGGGCAGTCCCTCCAGGGTGGGCGAGGGTGTGGTTAGTGCGGGGCGATGGGCACATGTCCTTGGGGCCCATAGGTACCCCCTGTGTTCTCGTGAGCACGGTTTGCAAAGCTGAGCCCCCTGGAATGCACTGGCTTGGGATCACAGACTGCAGGCGCCGGCCCTGAGTGCTCCGTGTCCCTGGCAGGCCGGGCTGGAGCGGCGGCTGGCCAACGCCAAGAGGAAGGTGTCACAGCTGGAGAAGCTGCTGCCCACGCAGGCGGTCAGCGAGGACCAGCGGGAGGTGCTGCGGCTGCTGTGCCGGGCGCACGAGCTGGAGGTGGAGAACACGGAGCTGCGGGCCGACAAGCTCTGCCAGGGAAGCCTGCTGCGTCAGAAGGACCTGGTGATCCAGCGCCACCATCAGCACCGGCTGCTGTGCGAGCGGCTCATCCAGGACCTGTGGCAGCTGGTGCAGGGTGAGGCTGGCCCGCTCTGGCCCTGGTCAAGCAGAGTCCCGGTCTCCCAGGGCGTAGAGGCAGACCCCTGTCGGCCTTCACCCCGGCCCTGTCCCCCCACCCTGTACCCCATCCCTATCTCCTACCATGTCCCCAGCCCCTGGCCCTGTCCCCCTGCCCTGTCCCCTGTCCTGTCCCTTGCCCTGTCCCCTGCACCTGTCCCCCACCCTGTCCCCGGCCCTGTCCCCAGCCCCTGTCCCCGGGTGTGAAACACTCTCCGTGATGTAAGCTAGGGAAGGCCAAGCACAGCATGTCAGAAATCCGCTTACACGGGGCACCGACCGTCCACGGGGAAGTGTGTGTAACCCCCGGCCCCCAGAAAATCCTCCTTCATCAGGTTGGAACATCTGCCTGCAAACTTCCATAAAAAGAAGATGCTGTCTTTCCCACAAGTAGGGACGTCTCGCCCATCTGCTTGCTTTCCCGGGTCCCACAGGTGGTGGTGTCGCAGTGCCGGAGGCCCTGGACCGGCGCTTCTGCCTGTACTTGCGGGAGCTGGGCGTGGGCTCGCTGAACCACCTGATGCTGCTGCACTCGGTCCTGTCCAGCTCCCTGCAGGTGAGTCCGTCCGGGGTTCTCCCGCCACCAGCCCCATGAGGGAACCGACCCTAACACCGGGGGAGGAAGCTCAGCCCCCACCAGGAGCCAGCGCTGGCAGCGCTGGGTCAGCTGAGCCGGTGGCCGGGCTTTGGGGAGTTTTTGGGGGTGCCCTGAAGGTTTGAGAGGGGGTATTCTGGGTCCAATGCGCCATTCACCCCACGGGCCCGTGCCCCTTGGCAGCTGCAGACTCTGTGTGGGAGACAGAGGGCTGAGGGGAAGGATGCCAGAGCGTGGGGCAGACTGGGGTGCCTCGGGGATCCTGGGAGGGACATCTTCTGGGGAACCTGAGTGGGTTTTAGTTCTCCTCTGGGGCGTGTCGGCAATCCACTGTGTGGTTTGGGGCATTAGGGGCCGATTCCAGGGACACCCCGGGGAAGAGGGCCGGGGGACGGCTCTGCACCCACTCTGCTGATGGCTGCTGTTGTCACCAGCTCTACCCCTGCCTGCTGCTCGGGCCCTGCCCCCCTGCTTTACCTTCTCAGGAGAGAAAACGGGGAGCTCCCAGGCTTCCAGCGGGTGAGGGGCAGAAGTGTAGCACAGGGCCTGGCCCAGGGATGCGAAGGTGTGTAAAGCCACTTCCCACCCCTGGTTAGGCATCCCTGGTACCTGCATCATCTGTGGCTTTGGGCACCATGTGATCTGAGAGCTTCCCGCTCGATCACAGAATGCGGCCCCTGGGGGCTCTCCTTCCTTCTTCCCGTGTGTCCTGTAGTGTGTGCCAGGGTCCCCAAGACCGCCCTCAGGCTCACTTCTCTAGACGCGCTCCCGGAGCTCAGAAAAGGTGTTACACTGAACCGCAAGTCTGTCCCCAGGGAGCATGTGGCCCCTGGGACCACCATCTACTCTCTGTCTCGGTGGGTTTAATGACCCGGGGGCCTGACAGTCCTTGTCCTCCTGGGACTAGCTTCCTTCACCAAGCACAACGCCCTCCAGGTCTGTCCCTGTGGAAGCCGGTGTCAGAACGTCCTTTCTAAGGCCCAGGGATGTTCCATGGTGTGGCTGGGCCACCTCGTGTCTGTCCCGCCATCTGCTGTTGGACATGGGTACTTCTGCCGCGTGGCTATTGGGAGTGATGCTGCCATGAACATGAGTGTCAAGCACCTGCTTGAGTCCCTGATCCCAGTTCTTCGGGTGTATGCCCCCGGCGGGGGGGGGGGGGGGGGGGGGTGTTGCTGGGTCACGTGGTGACTCTGTGTGTCTTCTTCAGGGCCTGTGGGCTCTGAGGCTGCTCTGACAGCGTCTGTGTGCCACCTTTGCTCAAGGGTGAAGGCTGTGCCCTGGCACTGGCACTCCTTGGCTCTCACCCTTGCACAGAACATCCTTTCTGTCCCCAGGATGGCTCAGCTCTGAACATATCCCCCCCGCTGCCGGAGGAGGCCAGCCAAGACCAGCCGGACGACAGGAAGGATCTCCCGTGGGGTGCCCAGTTTGAGCTGCCGCTAATGCTGCTGGAGACGGACAGGTACCCGTACTTTCCCCTCTGCCCTCTGGGCATCGCCGTGCTCTCAGCAGGCGCAGTGCGGCCCCAGGGAGCATGGTCCTGGGGTCTCCTCTCAGGAAGTCTGCCTGAGGTTCTCTCCTTGCAGGCCTGTTTCAGACAAACGAACGGGTCCAGGAGACCCTCGCGGTGCAGGGTGGTCATAAGGCTGGGGGGCTGGCCGCCAGAAAGGCCGTTTTCACTTTGTGTGTGTTTTGTTCCCTCGTGGCTGCCGCGCCCCGCTGTCGCTGCTTTCCCCCTCTCTTCTGCTGACTTTAGCCTCGATGCCTTCCACACCAGAGCAGACCTGTAAAGCAATTGCTCACAGACTCGCCCCCCGGTTTTCACGTTAGCGTTGGTAGGTGTGTGTCCCGTCTTCGCCGCCCGTCTGCCTGATAGCGTGACCCAGGCAGGGGGCTTACACCTGGCGCCTACTTCTCACAGTGTGGAGGCAGGGCAGTTGCAGGGGGGAGGGGGGTGCTGTGCACCCTTCTGTCAAAAAGCCTCTTCCTGGCCTGCATACCCCAGTCTGTGCCATACACCTTTGTGCCGGAGTGACCCCCCTCTTCTCTGGAAGGCCACAGTCCTGTGCACTCAGGGCCCCTGCTGACCTCCCAAAGGCCCCTTTCCAGAACGGTCACGTCAGGGGCTTCGGCACAGGAGCTCTGGGGGGACCCAGTTCAGGTCGCCGCTGTCAGGTATCGTGACCTGTCCCCCCAGAGTGTCCATATGCAGCTCTACAGCTGGGACGCCTCCGTCTGTGACCACAGTGTCGTTAGCATCCCCAGGAAAAACAGTGGGATGTCTTCAATGTCGTCTCGGATCCTCGCCAGGGGCCCATTTCTCCAGTTTGGCCCCCAAATCCCTCTGCCCCTGGTTTGTCAGCGAGGACCCCATATCCTTGTCTTGCTCCATACCCTTCAGGGGAACGAGAACAGCAGGGCTCCAGCCTTGGGGCATGTGCGCATATGTGTGTGTGCACGCGTGTGTGCATGCGTATGTTTCTTGGGGCCTGGTATCTCCCATGTGTGCGAGTGTATGCATGTTTGCAGTGTCTCATGGGGGTGCGTGTGTACGTTTGGGAATGCGTGTGCATGTGCGTGTGCATAGGAGAACAAAGCACCCGCCCCCCAGTCAGGACTAGATGCCTCTTCCACCTGCTCCTGGGCCCACACCTGCTTAAACTCGCCACTGACCTATGGGCGAGGGAAGACGGGCATCGGCCCCATGCTGACATCGGGCTGATTGCTGGCCAGTTGCAAAGTGAGCCCCTCACCTCCAGTCCTCAGTGTAGACCGGAAGGGTCTGCCCTACAGTAGCCCAGACTGTGGGGACACAGCCGGCGAAGCCCGCTGCCCACCGTGAGCCAGAATGCAGGCTCCATGTTCCAGACGGCACGAGAGGAGCTGTGTTTCCCGGCAGCCAGGCTGGGTGGCTGACGCCCACGGCCTAACGCAGGGCAGCCAAGCCAGTTCCCATGCAACAGGTGAGGCCCAGCACAGAGGCCCTAACTGGGCGGAGTCCCTGGGATCCAGCCCATGGGACGTGGGCAGCCAGCCCTTGAGCCATGCTGACCAGGCTTGTGTCCCAGCTATGCGGGTCACCTGCCCCATGGTCCCGTCCAACGGCTGGTAGGGTAACCAAGCCTCCCTGCAGGGCCATGCATGCTGACATGGTGGGGCGACATGACGCAGGGCTGCCATTACGCGGACCACCTAAGTGAGGGGTGCAGGAAGGAAGCCTGTCAGCCTGCCTCGCATGTGAGCTGGGCTCCTGTCCTGGACTTGGGCCTCTGCCCCAGATCCCCTCTAGTTTTCGGTTGCTCTTGGTCCTGACTCAGAGTGCTTCTGGCTACAAGTAACAGAATTCTCAGTGCGGTGATCTAATCAACACGGGTGTGTACACAGGAAGAGCGGACTTGGGGCCATGATTTACATGACTTGATGATGCCCATGTGTCTACATGGAAATAACATCTCCCCTTAGGGTCAAAGAGGCTGCCACAGCTCCACAGATCACACCTCCAAGATGAAGGGAGGGCTGGGCTCTCTTTTTCATCTGGGAGAAAAATCCCTTCCATCAGCTTCCCCCCGTAGATATCCCTAAGTCAGTGAATCAGGTGCTCTTTGCTACGCCAGTTCCCTACAGAGAAGAGAAGGGAGGACTGTGACAGGCCAAGTCTGACCATGTCTCAGGGCCGGCCATGTCGTCGCGCAGAGTTGCTCTGGGGCTCTTTACCAGCACAAAGGGGCGGCTACCGCGGCGGCAAGCAGAGCATCTGCACACCTCACCACGCGTTCATTGAGTACCAGCGCCAAACAGTGCGAGGCGAACAAGACAGACGCGACCCCCGCCCTCGACCTGCTGTCTCTGCAGCTGCAAGGGGCAGGGGAGGGGAGGGTGGGGGCTCTTTGCTCCCGGGCCATGTCCTGAGTCTGGGGCTGGCAGAGGAAACGTTCCTGCCCATGTCAGGTGCTGCCCTTGGCGGGAGGAAGCTGGGGCGCTCTGACGGGTATAGGAGGCCCCCTGCACCAAGAACACATGCTGTCTCACTCTATGGGTACAGAGGGCGCTGGAGAGGCTCCAGAGCTTGCTTGAGGTTCGCCATGAGGAAATGCAGGCCAGGCGTCTGTCTCTAGTTTGGAGCACTGGCCACGGGGCACCGGCCTGTGCTCTCCTGACAGCGTCCAGAGGCCTCCACGGTGTATACGGTGCTCCAACAGCCCCCGTCGTCCAGCCAGCGGTGAGTTGGCAGTCTTTCCAGCAGCTCGGCTTGTCACCACTCAGATTTCGTAGATGAGAGAGCAGAGCTCAGGGACGGGAGTCCACTGGTCAGGGAGCCTGGGTGTGATGCGTGACGCTTTGTTCTTGCAGTTGTCGATGAACTACCTCGACAGGATGCTGCTGAAAACCTGTTCTTGCAGAGTAGTTCTCTCTGGAAGTTCTGGCTGGAAGGTTGTCACCATCCCTTCCCCTTCCAACGGCCAAAGTCTTCCACACACAGGGTCCTGGGCCAAGTCCATGTCTTTGTTCTATCCTCCTCTTCTTGCTGTGCCTTGGATGTGCCAAGCTGGTCCCTGCCTCAGGGCCTTTGCCCATGCTGTCCCATGCCCAGCAAGTTCTTCTAACAGCACTCAGCACAGGTCTTCCATTGCTGTCCTTTGGGCCTTTGCTTAGACATTTTGCTCCTGTTGCATTTGTCCCGTGGCTGATTGAATGCCTGCTGGGTGTGCCGCAGCCCAGTTCTGACACTGACCACCCAGAGCTGTTAGGGCCCCAGTTAGGGCCTCTATCCTTTACACAATTGCCCCCATGGCAGAGGCCAGCTGCAGGTGGAGTCCCCGGGCCACCCATGCTTCTGATCTGTTGACCACCACTTCAGGGGTTCCTGCAGCCCCCTCAGGTCTGATAAGGACACTGAGCTCACGCACCCAGCGTGTCCCCTGGCCTTGCCGTGGCTTGACATGGGCTGCAGCGTCCTGGGGTTCAGGCCTTGCTGTCCCTGGCTGGATGAAGGGCCGTAGGCCCCGGTAGCTAGCTCAGCAGGTGCATCGCGTGTCCCCCACAGCAGTGGCTACAGGTCCTTGGAAGCCACACCATCGAGAATGCTGGACAAGCAAGATTCTCTTCTTCCTCCACCATCCCTCCGTGTCCTGCTGACTCCTCCAGCTCACGAGGTTGGTGTGCGGCCCTAAGTGGGGCCTGGGCTCTGGGGAGGCCTCCCCTGCTCCTGCAGAGCAGTGGGGGCGGCTATGAATATTCACGTCTTTCCTACAAACTACCTTTAAGAAGCTGCTAGTTTCATGACCAGTGAGCGCTCGCACTCTGGGTCACGTGCTAAGGAGGCCCCCTGCCCCACGGGGAGCCCTCTGGCCTAACAGGGGTGCTGGGAATCTCAGATCCGTTCGGAGAAGCCACATCCATGGCTCCACGTGTGAGATGCCCTGGGCCCCTCGGCCCTTGGGAGCAGTGACCTGTGCTTCCAGGGTGTCCTGGTCCCGGGGATTGCTTCTTCACACACCTGCCTTGGCCCTCCTCCCCCCCCACTGACCTGGAGTCACTGGCCCTGAGTTGGTTTCCGGGGCGTAGGCAGGGGCGGGCCAACTGGGGTGGCCTGGTGACATCTGACCATTGCTGGCGCTTGTTCCTACAGCCATTGAACTCCCTGAGTGTGAAGAATTTGGTCTCCAAGCTGTGCTCCATGACCAGCCCAGAACTGGGCACCTCGCGGGCAGCAGCAGAGGCCAGCAGCCCGGCCCTGAGTGCCCAGGCCCTCGAGGACATGGCCGCAAGCACCAAAAGCATCGCTCTCATCGCAGCTGCCCGGCGTTTCAAGGCACAGGACCGTGGTTGGGGCAGTGGCCACTCCTCCCTCCACCTTCCAGAGGAAGTGGCCCTGGACTCCAGGGACCCGAAGGCCAGTGTCACCACAGCCCCGAGCCCAGCAGACCGGAGGTGGCCTCTCGCCAGCCCGGGCAGGGACCACTCTGTGGAGAGGAAGGCCAGGAGGAAGCGGTCACCATCCCTCACCTGGAGTGTGCAGCCGGTGGGTGGACATTGGCGGGCCTCCTAGCCCAGTCCTGGGGTCCAGTGGAGCTGGCAGAGAGGGAGGGTCCCCCAGGAGCGCCCACCCCTTCCTAACTGGAAGCCATGCCACAGTGCAGGTAGCAGTTTCCCATCTTGGGTCCTTCCCTAACGTTCTTCCGTAAGTGCTCATGTGCGCCCATGGTGTTGGCGTTTTAGCCCTAAAGTGCCCCGCTAGGTTCTAGCGCATGTCGGCCACATAGCAGCTGTACCCACACGGTGTCCTGTTCCCACGGGAGCTTGGCACTGAGCCCGGCACGTGTGGCCCCCCCACTGCCGGGGCTGAGCTCCACACGCGGTCCCGTTGCGCAGCTACTAACGGTCATCTGCTCCCTGTTTCATGGCCAAGTAGGTCGTCTTTCATTTCTGACCCCGTGGGGCCTCCTTCTGTGGGGTGTTCCTCGTTTCTAGTTAACTTCCAGGGACGCTGGATGGTGTTGACCTGTGGAAGTCTCTTCAGCATTTAAGCAAAATCCAGCACACGGCAGAGCGCCACACTGACCACTCGCTGACCACACTGACCACTCCCTGACCACACTGACCACTCGCTGACCACACTGACCACTCCCTGATCGCACTGACCACTCCCTGACCGCAGTGATCATGGTGGTGTGAAGTTACGGTTGCGTGATGGAGAGGGTGGGTTTGCCACGGGTTCTAGTCCATATGGAAATGGTGTTTCCTTGGCGAGGTTTCTTTCCATCCTACACTTAGTTAAATAAACTGGAGGAAGTGAGCAGGCTTCACTCTGGGCACGCTGGCTGGTCGCCGGGGGCCTGGCAGACATCATCCCGCCTCTGCCAGCCACACAGTGGACATTTGCTAACTCAGTCTGAAGCCACCCCGCAATCACTCGGTGGGGTTAAAGGTGGGATCATAGCAGAGGTCAGAAGGTGAGCGTACCAGTCAGAGCTCTCCAAACAGAACCAGTAAAATGTGTATGCACACACATGACACAGATGCTCCCACACTCAGACATGTACACACACACACTCATTTACACACTCATGCACGCGCACACATGCGCACATATATATGTTCACACACACATTCACACATGCGCACACACACACACACACACACACACACACAGAGAAAGGTTTACTATAAGCAATTGGCTCATGTGATTTATGGAGGCTGACAGATCCCAGAGCTGTGGCTGGCAAGCTGGAGACCAGTTTACATCCAAAGCCAAGAAAACCCAAAGCCCCAGCTCAAGACAATCAGGCAGGAGCTGTCTCCCTCACTACCAGGATGGTCAGCGGCTTTTGTTCTATCCGGGCCTTCAACTGATTTGACGAGGCCCACCCACACTTGGCAGGCAATTTGCTTTACTCAGTCGATCTATTTAAATGATAACCGTTTAACCCCCCCACTGTTGGGGGGGGCACAGAGAGGAGAGGATGGTAGGGAGGACAATCAGCAGCCAGAAGAGGATCATGGATTTGTTCACTCATTCATTCCTTTCTGGGGGTCTGAGGGGAGCACTAGCAGTGATCCTGCTGCTATCCGTGTGTGGCTTTGGCTCAAAGAGACCTTGGCGGGTCAACCCTTCCACGCCCACTCCCCACGCCCTGGCCTAAATGTGCTTGTCCCTGCAGGTGCTGGACCCTGCCTCTGACAGCCAGCCGCCCCCAGCACTCCCACAGCTGACAAAGTCGTCTGGGAAGAGCTTCTTCCCCGCCGTCCCCATGGCCTCCAAGATAAAACCCAGCCTTAGCGTCCACGCAGGTACAGGATCGGAAGATAAGCTAGCAGGCTGGGACTTTGTCGGCTCCTCTTGCCCAGGGCGAGTCTTTGGGAAGCGTGACGGTGTGGGCTGCTGTCAGTTGTCTGTGCCTTGCTGTTAGTTTCAGGTTTTCAGGGCTGGGTGTGGGCCAAGGCCACCGGCCCCACGAGACGCCATGTTCCCAGAGGCACTCAGTTTTGCTTCTGGGCCACCTGGCAACCTGACGGAGTTTGAAACACTCTGGGTGGCCAGCGCGGTCCATGTTGGCCCAGGTTTGAGTGCTGGCTCCTGTGGTTGTGTGCCCAAGACGTGCTTGTGGCAAGGGCTCGGGAATGCAGACAGAATCATCGACGAGAGAAAACCACCTGCGTACTCGGCCGTGAGGTGACCCCCCGCCCCGGGCAGGTAGAACGAGAACACTGGCCCCTGTGTGGGCCACTGGGTGTGGCTGGTGGACGCCGGTGAGGGTGTCAGTGCTCCCGCAAGGGTGCCCACAGGCTGTGTCCGACCTGCACCAGAAGGTGCCTGCATCCTGTCTTTCTAAAATCTCTCCACTGGTCTTTTCAGTGATGCGTTTCTGTCATATTTGCCGAAGTATCCATCCCATAGAGGCTGGGAAAAACCCACAAGCAGGCCAGTCCTGGCCATGGAGGAGCCTGTTTCACTGGCCACATGATCAGAGCTCACAGCAACGCCACGCTTACTCTGCGCCAGGCGCTTGGTGGGTGTCAGCCCACTCGTCCCCGTGGCGCAGAGAAGGAAACTGAGGCACAGAGGTTCAGGGCGTTGCACGAGGTCCCACGCTGGGCGTGCAGACCCACTCCCTAGTGCCCAACCACACTCCTGTGCCTTCCCTCGTGCCTTGTTTCTATGTCAGAGTATGTGTGGGTCAAGGAGGGAGTGTGTCTTAGGGCCGTGGCCATGGTGTGACAACCACACTCTGTCTCGCTCTGGGTGTACACCTTGCACCACCCGGTTTGCATCCGCACTCTCAAACTCTTCAGAAATCTCTGGCCTAGGGATGGAGTTCGGATACGCCCCCCCAACCCCATGATTTATCGGCTCAGCTCCTGGGACTGCTGGCGGTGACACAGGCCCGTGATAGGACAGCAAAACCTTGGAAGCTCTTCAAGTGTTCTTCATCCGTATGCGCTTTGCCGCTTTCAGAAGCTTTTATTCACTCGTCTTCCTGTTTCCACCGTGCTCATAAACAGTCACCCGGTCCCGGAGAGGGCAGCGGGGTCAGGCGTGGAAACTCTGTGGTGCAGGGCCGGGCGCGTGCCCACCACCATCCTCCCAGCAGGCCCTCACCTGGAGAGGCACTGTGGGGACACCTGCCTGGGGCAGCTTGGGAGAAGCCTGGCTGTCCCCACGTAGCCAAAGCCTCACGGTCCTGTGATCTCCCGTCCCCTGCAGACAAGCCCCTTGGAACCTGTCTCTACAGCTGATTTACAAAGGAGCTTGCTTTGCCTCCCATTTTATGATGAAATTGCTCATGCACCCAGACGTCGGGACAACAGCACACAGCGCTTCCCAGCACAAGCAGGGGCCGTCCTCTGCCGACTCCGCTCCTGCGTTCCTGCGACACTTTTCCATCCACTCATGTGCTGTTTGCTTTCCTGGAGTGCTCTCCAGAAAATCCCCGAGCGGGCTGCCTCCCCCGTGTGTCTTCGGAGAACTTTCTGTCTGTGATGACTGACTGTTGGTTGTACGTCATGGCTAGACAGGTTCAGTGGCTTCTCTACGTCTGTGTACAAAAGAAACCAGCGTTTTCCAGTAAACCAGAGTGGGCTGAACTTGGCCCCGTCAGTGGGCAAGAAAGGGGCACAGCCGGAGCCCCCAGCTCATGGGAGGTGCTGAGCCCTGCTTTGTGGGCCCCCGAGCAAAGGCCGGGCATCTCGGGGCCATGGGAGCATCGGGGCTCAGGCCCTTATAGCCGAGTACTAGTCCGTCTCCCACAGGCCTCGTGCTTGCACTGCTGCCGGTGGTTTGCTCCTCCCAGCCATGGTGAATCTCTGTTTCCGGGTCTTTGGCTAACTCCGGGCATGTGTGTCCCGAGGCAATTCTCCTCTGAATTTCCTGGGAAACCACAGCCCCGTCTCCCACTAGGGCCGAACCATGGTGCATCACCACCAGCACTCCTAAGTCTCCCTCCCGCTCTGCAGGCTCAGCCCTGTCACCTCTCCTGGGCCCAGACCTCTGACTCCCCGTTCCTTCCCCGATTCCCCAGCAGCAGTGGGCCCAGCCCTGGTTAAGTGTCAGGAGAGCTCTGGCCTGCGAGGCGATGGCAGGCTGAGAACAGAACAGCCCCCTCTCTCGTGGGGACACGTGTGCCAGGAGGAGGCAGGTGCTGGGATGAAAACAAAGTGACCAGGGTGGACCGCAGGGCTGGGGATCTGAGCTCAGGCCGTCAGGCAGCCTCTGCACAGGGCGTCCAGCTGTGTCTTGGGGAGACACCCTCTTCCTCACTGCATCTTCCTCCACTCAGTAACCCCAGGATACCCACCCCGCGGCCAGGTCATGGCCAACTCAGAGCAAACAGGGGAAGGAGAGGGAGAAGGAAAGGAACCAAAGCCAGAGGAGGGAATGTTCCAGAAAGGGCTGGGCTGTGGGAGTACACACAAAGAGCCCAGTGGGCATGAGGTAGGCACTCAACACGCTGCATCGATCGTGATGTCCTCTCCTCCCCAGGACTCACAGTGTGCCCCTAAACTAACGTCCTCTCCTCTCCTGTTCACTGTGTAGATGAGAAGAGGCCCCCAGTGCCCGAGGTCAGCTTCACCTTCCCCAGTGCCACGTGGCAGAGCAGCCCAGGCCCGAGCAAGGCCCCGTTCCGGCCCCGGGACATCCGAGGTCAGTGCCTGCACCATCCCATAGCTCCTGCGCCTCTGTCTGCCCACCCCCCCCCCCCCGCACCCATGCTGTGCCCACAGCGGCCATACCTCCCCAGTGGCTCCCTGGTGGGGGCTCGGGTCCCGAAAGGGAGCAGGAGTACTGCGCCAGCCGGGTGCTCGTATTCAGGAACAGTGATGCCTGTTCCGTGACTGACGGTTAGAACAACCCCCCAGGAGGGCTGTTAACGTTGCACATCGGCCCATGACGTCGTGGAAGCACCAGTTTGCCTGTGACACTGCTGGGCCTGGGTGCTAACCCAGAAACCCCAAGGGCACACCCTGTTCCTCTCTGCCCGTGTCTCAGAGACACTGAGGCTGCGACCCAGAGACGGTTTAAGCATGTCAGCTTCTGAGTACATGTGACCCTCTCCCCAGCCTGGGAGGTAGATGCCTCCCGAGTCCTCTCTGGGGATGGGACACACCCTCTGGCAATGTTTTCCTCCCTCCCACACCCCCAAAACCAACACACAGCTGAGTCATCGGGAAGGATGGGTATAAATCATCAATAGGCCTAAAGCCCACCAGGGAGGGAAGTTCTTCCTTACATCTAACCTCAGTCCCTCTTGCTGTTACTGTTTCAGAACAGGTCAAGAACTCATTATTAGGCCCTCCTTCCAAGGGTTCTTAGGGAAAGGGTCTCAAAGGGGTTTGCTGGCCGTGCCCTTGGGGGCAGTGGTACCAGCCAGTTTAAACAGCGTGGGGAATGGGAAACGTTCCACGAGGATGCCCCCACCCTAATTGCATGCATCCTTTGTGGTGGAGAAAGTGGCTGAGGGAGGTCTCGGGACAGGCATGTGTCACTAGTGTGTGGGGAAATGGGGTCCCAGGCTGGGGAGGTGCAGTTCCACAGGGGCACGGGCAGAACTGGAAGAGGGAGGCATGCCCATGCAGGTCCTGAACCCAGTGGGGCGGCGGCTTGGGCCAGGCCCAGGACATCCGCACCAAGGACCCGGCGGTAGGGACTCTGGCTTCGCAGGAGTCGGCCTCGACCACGAACTAGAGTCTCCCACCCCCTCCAGGGTCCACAGATAGTGGAGGCCAACACCACAGTCCATTGCCCCCCAGGGCCCCCCGCAAGCCCCGGGGCAGCGCCAAGCGACCACAAAGGCCACAGTGAGGATGCCAGCCAGCGGACCAGGCATGTGGGAGCAGGTGGAGAGCGGCCGCAGGCACAGGGCTCTCTCTCCCTGGAGCTGAGATCAAGAGATGGGGCCCTGCCGGGGACCCTTCGGGGGCAGCTAGCCAGCTTTCCACAGCCTTCTGTGCCAGCGGCTGCCTTGCTAACCCCCTCCAGAGGGAGGGCCGTTGACACGATGTCAGAGCCCTTCTGAAGGATCCTCAGGAGGAGGCAGGCCTTGTTGGTGTCACTCCTGGTCATGGGTGCTCCTCCCAGGATCACTCCACCCTGCTGGTTCTGCGGCAGGAGAACACTTTCACTCTTCACCTGATGGGGCGAGGCCCACCCGCGCTACAGAGGGTCCTCTGTCCGATGGAAGTCGCTGAGGGACCCTGGCGCTGACAGCCAGCCGCCCCAGAATGTTGCTGACTGGAATGTTAATCTCATCTGCAGAACACCTAGGCAGCATCAATGACCCTGGTGTTTGACCAAACACCCAGGTGTGGTGGCCTGGCTGAGTTGATGGTCCAGTGAACCCCCATTTCCCACAAACCTTGGCCAGCCAAGGGTCAGCATCCCATCTACGTGTGTGTACGGGCTCCAGAACAAGCTGGCATCGGGAATGAGAACACCCTCCACTCCCATGACACCCCCACCCCCTCACTATGTTCTCATGTCCCTCCCCACGCGCCCCCGTGCAGAGGACACCATGGCCAGCGGTGGGGAGCCAGTGTGTCGGCTGCGAACCCAGGAACCGAGGCTCTAAGGTCGCATCAGGATAGAAGAGTCTGGGAAACCTGGAGCACCATCCACGGAGCGCCAGGCCGTCACCTTCTCTGGCTCTGCTTTCGGCACTTCTGTGGCTTTCAATCCACTGCCCGCATGACGGGCTCTCAGGGGCACCCCGTGTGGGGGCCATGGGGACTGGAGCCGCCTCCCTAGCAGCAGGATCCCCGCCAGCTGGGGCATCCAGTGGAAGCAAGGGGCTCTGGGAAGCCACTTGTAGCACTTTGGGGCTCGGGGCCGAAAGGAGGTGGTGGGGGGGCCTCGCAGCCCACCTGGGGAAGTGGGCTGTCTTGGATGCATGGGTGCCCAGCACAGGGGGACAGCTCATATGTGTTGTACAAACGCCACAGCTGGACACCACAGCCTGCCTCCCCTCTCGTCGTAAGACCCACTGTCAAGGAAGACCTGCAGGGGACTTGTCCTTCCTGGGCCTCCTGGAGGAGTGTGTGGAGGGGAGGTCGGTCCCACATAATCTTTGGGGGCTCTGCTGCCTGCTGTGAGCAGACCTGCTGGGGACACCCTCTGATGCCCACCTCCCCTTCCCTAGGGAGCAATGCTGAGCCTGGAGGCAGAGATAACTCCTTCTTTCCCACCCTGGCCCCAGATCCTGCGTAGGGCAAAAATTGCTGGTTGCCCCCCATTTCTACTTGCTTTCTTCTGGGATAATAGAACCCCCAATTTTTAGCTAGTTACATGGCTTCCCAAATAAGGACTGGATGTTCCACCCTCCTTTGCAGCTGCATATGGCTGCGTGACTAAGTTCTTACAGATGGGGTACAAGCCAGAAGCAGCTGCTTCCAGGAAATTTGAGCACAAAGGATCATTAGCACGTTCTTCATGCTTCTTGCCTTCTTTACTTCCTCAGTCCTACTACCTGGAATTTGCATGTGATGGCTGGAACTCTAGACACCATTTTGAGGCCTTGAGGACAAAGGCCATGCCCTCAGGAGGGTGGAGCAGAGTTGCCTCTCAGCATTGTTACATCCCATCCCCCAGATGCAGACTTGATAGAGGAACAAGTGCACCTCATCTTAACTGATCAGGGAGGGGAAGCCCAGGCAATTGCCAGTTGTAGGTGGAGAAGTCCCTGGTACTTCTGGGAAGTGACATCAGCAGATTAGAAATGACAGGATGGCGGGACAAGGCTTGGGGTCAGGCATGGACCCCAAGAGGTTCCTAGGCTGACATGAGTGTGCAGAAGAAACTCCTGCTCTTCCTACACCGCATCTGGAGCTGGGCTGAAAAGAGAGCTGCGGCCTGGCCCATGCACCTGAGGAAGCACTTATATTCGGGGGATGGGGGATGGGGGCCCCAGCCTCATGGTGGGTATTAATGTTCTCCAGCAAAACAGAACTGCCAGGGGGTGCATGTGTGGAGGTATTTAGTTTAGGGAACTGGCTGGTGCGACTGTGCAGGCTTGGCCGGTCCACCGTCTGCGGGATGAGTCAGCTGGGGACACCTGGGGCAGCGCCCTCTGCTCAGGACAGGTCAGCCTTCTTTTCTGTTCAGGCCCTGGGATGATGGGACAAGGCCCACGCAATTTACGGAGGGCCATCTGCTTTACTCAACGTCTGCTGATTTACATGTTAATCTCACCACAAAACGCCCCACAGAAACATCCAGAATAACATCTGACCTGTGTGGGCACTGCGGCCCAGCCAGGTGGACACATGAAATTCGCCATCATGGGAGGTGACACAAGACCGGGAAGAGCCAGGCTGGAGAGGGTCACCTGCTCTGTGCCAGTCTGTGACAGCCAGGGAGACCCCTGAGCTCAGGGTCAACCCGGGGGACGGAGGCTGGGGGCAGATCTTGAATTTGGCCCAGTTTGAGCCCAAAATGACCGAGGACAATTGTGTAAGTGTCTGAATGTCCCCAGGGGTTGTCTGTGGGTGCATAGGAGTTCAGGTGACTGCAGATTTGCACCTGTGACATGAGGGTCACACTGTGATCTCACCACTTTAAAAAGACAGAAAGTTATATAAAGGGAACGATAATACATCCTCCCCCACCCCCTGCCTTCTCAGAGGTAAGTCCTCTTCAATGACTGGAAGCATGTGCTTCCCGGTTTTCCCACAGAATAACCCTAATTCAGAAGTGTCTCCACTTAGGTCTCCACCATGGCAGAGGCTGCCACAATAGGGCACAGGTGGCTTCTGGGGAGGTGATGCCAGGGGGCGGGGAGAGAGGAAAAGCCACCAAGCATGGGTACCACCGTGGAGCTGCTGCCAGCAGTGGGAGGCGGAGGCTGCCGGGACCCGGGCTTACAAGGCAAGCCTCTGGAGTGGACCCCCGAGCATCAGGGGACGGGATCCGGGGGGCACTGGCTCTGCATTAGGCTGTGTTCGCAAGTGGCCGGGGCGTCTCGCCCTGTCCCCAGCAGTAGAGGAGCCCCAGGGCAGAGAATGGAAACTCTGGTTCAAAACTCAGAGCCAAGTGCATTTCGGCACTGTCCACAGGCTGCAGGTGAAGGCCAAGGCGAGGTCTGAGGGCCAAAGACATCCGGGACAAAGAAATCACACACACTCACTCATACACTCATGTGGACACACACTCATGCACGCACGCGCGCGCTCACACACACACACGCACACCCATGCACCTGTCTCCCGCCTCCCTCACTGCTGTTGCTCATCCTGTTCTGTCGGCTTGGAAGCCCTCTCCACCTTCCCCGCCAGCCTCTGGTCCTTACCCAGGAGGCCTCTACCCCTTGCCTACTGGGCCGGGGACTCAGAGCCTCTTCCGTCACTGAGTGTGCGCACCATGTGATGACTGTCTTTCTGAGAGTGTCCCCACCACGGCACCTTCAGCACCACAGACCAGGCCCTGTCTTACGTCTCTGCATCCCCCCTGACCCGGAGCAGGTACCTGGGACGGCTGTGGAATGAAAGGGTGAGTGAAAGAGCGGGTGCGGGCAGGCACTGCGCTCAGAGCTGGGCGTGCAGGGCCGGGGCCCTGGCCTGGGACATCTGTGTGTGTGGGGAGGTTGGTCCCCTCCGCAGAAGTGTGACGTGCTGGGAGATGTGCAGAGGGGCACACAGGCAGAGCAGCCATCTGGGGGCTTTGCTGTACCCGTGCTGGGACCCAGGTGAGGCAAGGAAACACAGGCACTGAAACGAACACTGTCAAAGAAGGGGGAGGGTAAACCATTACCCAGCCCCTTACCTCGCTGCAAGCCTCTGGGGGGTGTCATCTGCCTGTGGCCCAGGGACCCGGAGCACTGCCTTGGTTACTCATGACTAGGTGACTGGGCTGGGA